TTGCCCTTATTAGAGCCTTCACTTGAAAAATGTAACCACCGAGTGAGTTGAAGACTCAATAATTAAATAGTCTAATCAAATTACTCATGTGTAAGAATAGATAGTGAGTATGTAAAGTGGCACATAAAATGTATAAACCAAGTTACATACATATTTATAGCTATAGAATGATATGCATAATCAACACATCACTTTATATCTTCCTTATATTTTCATACTGAATCTGTGGGTTAACAGTTCAATAGAACCAAATCTATATGACTGGATTGGTCCAAACTCATTAATCATAAAAGGCAGCCTTGACTAAGAGTGCCTTTGCTTATTATGGACCACAGATTTTTCTTGTCTATAAATATTAAGGGTGTTGATACCCAATCTATCTCTTATAGTATTAAGACTTTTAAACAAATATAGAACTATAAACTGGGGCCCCCACAATGCCAATATATCATATGAATCCTCAATACTACACTAGGGTGAATTCCTATACTCTCACAATAATCATACTAAACATATGCTTAATAATTTCCACGTACAACCATAAAATGTAATTTCGACCAAAATGATCACTTCCACTTAAACCATAGAATTTCACAATTAATTTGTACTTGAATAAAAGGTTTAGCCTTCTAAATCCATAAAGTTCAAAACACAATTTACATTTCACTTTACACAAAGTTTCTAAATCATAATCATTCTATATTAATAATATACTAATATAAAATAAGAGCATTTGCTTTAAAAATAATCATACAACCATCCAAACATGTAAATAAAGAGTTTAGACAATCTGTTTACCTCAACCATTTTATCACTAAAAGTGTTACTGTGGTCAAACAATGACCCCACACATGTCCACTAGCGTAAGAATGCTTATTTAATATATAATATTAAATATTTAATCATCAATCCTCACACTAATTAACCCATTTCAACACAAATTTGGGTACTCATTATAATTAAAACTTTAATTTAACCTCATTAATTCTTCCAATACACTCTATTGATTCTATTTAACACCTAAACACTTAAATAACATCATTTCATTACTCATATTGCTATTAATCTCCTAATTTCTAATTAGGGTTAATCCAAACCGTAAAAACTTCAAATCACTACAAAATCTATAAACTTTGGTTTAAAGGCTTGATTTAACTCTCAAAGACCTTAGCTAAGACAATGAATTCGATTACAACCCAAGAAAAATGAAAATCAAGCCCCATAGTACCTCAAACATTTAGAAATTCGCATAAAGGAAGAGGTACCTAAAGATGAATTTTGTGCCAATTGCTTCCAAATTGCTCTCGATGTTAAGCCCTAGCACCCACAAGTTGCTCATCGTCGCCCTCTTTTGTTTCCTCTTTCTCACTTTTGATTTTTGGTCTAGTTCGCAAATTTGATAATTACAAATTTTTGCCCATCCATCACAACACATGGCAAAGATATGTTCAAACATGTTTTGAGTCTCTCTCCGTGCCACGATCCACTCAAATTCCAACCTAACCCTCTTCTAAAGCTACCCAATGATCCAATAATTACGTTAATGTTTTAAAAATATTATTAATTGAAAATTCATTTAAATTTATCAATCTACCTTTCTAAACAGTTAAAATTTTCAAGATTTAAAATCTAGGATATTACATTAGCCACTCCTCATCCTTTTGCATGAAGTCGGTGTTGCAGTTAACTGAAGTGACTTTCAGGACTCCTTTTTGGGTTGCTTCAAACTTATGGCGGTTTATTCCTTTGGGGTCAGTTATAGGAAGCAGAGCACTCTTGGTACTTGGATAACTTCCAAGCCCATTCCCTTAAATCCTTCTCAGAAGTTTCCTTCTAGACCCACTTTTATAGATGTTCCTGCATGTGTTAATAATCATGATTAACAATGCCATGGCTAAAAGGAAGAGAAATGATTACCTGGGGGTTTAGCTAACCATGATTCGACAACTCGATTTGTTTAACGATATAAGAAGTCTCATTCTCTTTCAGTACACTTAATTGCTTCTGGTGTTGCCACTGTCGTTCTCTTATTGAGTTATTATTGGAAGACTTCACTTTTTCTGAGGTGTTGGCTTGTGCTTCATTATGCTCAGTTTTCTTCTTCTGGTTTAAATGGGAATTGTGCCAAGGGCATTCCTGCATGTCAGAGTTTTTTTCACCCCTCGCGAAAAAAGTTTCAACCATGATTAGTTGGAGAGGATTGTTGTTGATGCTCTCTTTCATCAGCTACTAGGGCAGGTATTATTGGCTCTAACCGTAGACGCTCCTTGGATCAGCGAGACAACATAAATCTGCCAGAGTCTTCAGATATGGATCCTGAGCTAGGTTTTGCGAGCTTGGTTGCCAAAAAACCTCACCTTGCTTCACCATGATGTGGAAGTTCTTGGGGGTTATGAAATGGGTAGTGTCATCACCCTCATCTCCCCTTTTAGGCTACTCTTTTACACTGTTGTTGCTTTTTTTTTTTTTTTTGCCCCTTTCAGGTTTCAGACTCTCATCCCTTGGTGTTGCCCTTCATTGATGTCGCGAATTTGCAGAGTGTTTGTTAATAGGCTTTTTAGCCTTTCCATTGAGAAGATTTTGTTCTCTTTTATGTACCTTGTTGGTACCTTTCCTTTGGAGATGGTGCTTATCTGTTGATATGGGATATGCATTCAATGCATACAAGCTGGTTGATCTCCTTCCTCTTTACAGTGGCAACGTACTTCTGCACGTTGGTGCTTCCATGTTGGTTTGATCATCCAAGGGCATTTTTTTATGTTACTTGTTAACCTTTTTGTTTAACATGGGTCCAATTTCTTTTATCATTGGGCCCTGTGTTCGTATGAGACTAACGTTTATTTGAATAAAATTGTCCCTTAAAAAAAAAAAAAATCCACTTCAACAATTCCGCCTATTTTTTGATTTTATTTTATTTAATGATATTCTTTTCCCTCGTCCGATATCTAAAGAGGTATATCAACTTTTTTGGTGGTGTCTCTCTTCACACTTAAAAGGACGTAAATAATATTATTATTCGAGCTAATTGAAAAAATAAATTCTACTACTATTTTTTAGTTTTAATCTGAATATATTTTGTATGAAAATGAAATACAAAATAAATATAATTTTTAATGGCTTTTGAAAAAAAAAAGGATTGAAATAAACAATCAAAAACACAATTATCATTTCCCTTATAACCCACATATATATGGTGAAATCCAATTTATCTAAATTAAATATATGTTAACATATTTGCCTCTGCGTGTGTAAACACTTTATGTATATATTTTAATATGAATTTTGTAAGAAGCTATTCGTGCACTTAGTTTATAACAAAATATTATCATTCAACATATTTCTATATAATGTGAAAATTCCAACCATATGTATTATTTATAATTTGTAATATAATGAAAAATGCAATTTATTTATTTAGTTTTTTTAAGATGCATATTCACTCTTAAGGAGAAAAGATGCGTGTTCTATCATTCCCTTTCATTATTTTTCGTGTTTTAATTGTCTAGATTGAAGTACATTCAGGTCTTTTCGTTTTGATAAAATTTCAAAGGCTTCAGATTTATTTTCAAAATTTACAATTTAGTTCAATTCGATTTTTAACACTATAAACAATTTTCTAGTAGGTAACTTAAAATACTTTTTGTTTAATTATAATTATATTAAAAATTTTAAAATTATCCATTTATCATTATAATCTAACTGTTTACACTCTCCAATTAAAAGAAATTTTAATTAAGTAGGGAAAGGTTAGATAAATAATTTTAAAACATTGTATTAAAATGATATAATTTAATAAAAAATAAACATGAATTATATTGATTAATTGAGCCCTTGTTATATTTAATCCTCATCTCATTAAGTTACACACACACACACACACAAGTGTTTTAGAAATATGATTGTAGTCAACTCCAAATAAATTTTCATAACTAAAAAAAATTAAATATGAGTAAAAAAGGTAAAAACTGTTTCTATTATTTTTACATAATTTGAATGATTTTTAGTTAATATTTATGTTTAACGAGAGATAATTAAGGACAAGTGGATGGAAATTAAATCTAAAAATTGCAGGGTGATTTATGTTTTATAACTCTTGATTGTAGGAGAGGTTCATATTAATTTTAAACAAAAGAGGAAGATATTGTAATTGTATTTAACATAGAGTATGTAAATGGGAGATTAGTATATTTTATTTCAATTTTTTATTGAAAAAAATTCATGAAAGCAATTTAATATCAATCAATGATAAAAGAATATAAAACATCACTACAGGGTCAGAAAACTAATCTAAAAATAATGTTAGACTAGCAAGAAATATAATAATCCTACTTTTTTTTTAAACTTATCAATTAACAAACAGTTTATTGTTAAATATAAATGTATATTTATTAATTAATGAATAATTATTTATTGAAACATAGTATACATTTATCCCTTCCTATAATCAAGTTTTTTTAAATTCTTGAACTTTTTAATTAGTGAATAACTTCTTATTAAATAAAAATAAATATTTATTAATTAATAAATGATTATGTGTTGAAATATATTATATACTTGTCCATTTCTATTGCCAAATTCTTTTATATTATTGAATTTATCAATTAATAAATAACTTATTATTAAATGTGAATGGATTAATTAAAGAATTGTTATTTTTTGAAATATGATCTATATTTATCCCTCCTCATAATCAAATTGTTTTAAATTATTGAATTTTTTAATTAGATAATAAATTTTTATTAAATATAAGTGAATATTTGTCAATTTATGAATGTCTATTTACCGATTAAACAAAAAGGAAAAGCAGAGATATTTAAGTACTTTTTATCTAAAAATTATTTTGAAATCAATCCTTTATTTTACATTTATATTTTAAATTTTTTTAATTCTTAATTGATATTAAACAATTTCATTACTCCTTTAATGATATTTTCCTTTTTTTTATGCAATCTAATGAATTAATAAGAAGCCAATGAGACGCCAATCAATTCAGTGAAGTACGAGTCCGCGAGAAGGAGAGCACTACTACATGTTGATATTACAGTGTACTGAGCCACCTTGGCACTGAGCAGGCAAAAATCGGCTAAATGGATGCTCGTCGTTTCTCGTACGGCTCCCTTCCAATTCCTTTCCCCTCACATTCAAATCTCTCCGATGAATCGCAATCAAAATCAAGGTCCCTCTCTTTCCTCAATTCCCCAATATTGCCCAAACCCTTCAAGCTCTTCCTCCACTTTCAGCCCTTATCAGTAGTGCGCCTGAGATGTGGGAACGCTCAAGAGATGGCGACTCCGGAACCCAGTGTCAGCACCCCCGTCTCAGATCACCATCCAATTGATCAACGAATGCTCCAGAATATGGCTTTTGATGCTCTTGTTTGGAGCTCTCTTCACGGGCTCCTTGTTGGCGATAAATCTGTTGAGGTCAGCCGCCCATTTCATAAGCATCTCGGATTATCATCCTATTGATTAACCTTGTCAATTTATTCGACCGCTTGTCAGAGCCAAAAGCTGTCAATTGGCATTATCTTCATGTGTTTTAGTTATCTTTTACTGCAGTCAACGCTTCCCATCCCCAAACCCCCCCCCCCAAAAAAAAACAAAAGAAAAAGAAAAAACAGGTGATCGGCATTTTCCTTTTGCAGTGGCTACCTAGTTAGCAACTGAATTTGATGTCGACGTCTATCCTAACTGTAGAGATCAGGAAGCGTTCCCGGCGTTGGTTTGGTGCATGCGCCATTTGCCTTATTACCCACTTCATTCCCTGAAAGCCATTGGAGGCAAGCGTGTGACTTAGCCCCTATATTTAATGAACTTGTTGATCGGGTGAGTTTGGATGGAAACTTTCTGCAGGATACCCTCTCCAGGTACACTTTTTAGTTTCATCTTATCCGAGTACTGACAAAATCTGTATAACTGGGACTTGTTTTGATATGATCGTTGGTAAACCAACTTGAATTTGTTAGCGCATTTTAAGTTTAGTCCAGCTTGGTTTTTCTTTTGCAGCGTGAACGAACTTTTCTCTGTATCAACTGGTCATTGCATTATTTTTCGACTTCCAATGCACGAACACTTGTGTTTGCTCGGCATGTGTGTGGCATACATTCGTTCTGTGGTTGTCTTAGCTACCTCTAAGTTTGGTTTGTTTTTACCCTTTTTGTTCTCTGTCTATGCTTCTAATTTGACGTTGTTTGTTTGTTCGTCACAATGCAGAACTAAGAAAGTGGATGAATTTACCTCTAGACTTTTAGATATTCATTCCAGGATGCTAGAGATTAACAAGAAAGAGGTAAGTGCTGATTAGTAGGACATTGGGACCAAAATTGAAATGGCTAGAACAGTTGCAGTTGCATCCCTTTAATTGAAGGGGGTTATTTTTTAAGTTATTTAATTTAGTAAATTATCAGGAAAAGACATAAATATTTTTCTTAAAAAATCATTAATTTGAATGGATATACTCACACTCCCCCCACCTCCTTATGTATTTATTTTCAAAGGAAATACGTTTGGGATTACATCGTTCAGATTATATGCTTGATGAGCAGACTAAATCACTTCTTCAAATAGAGCTGAACACTATTTCATCTTCATTTGCTGGTCTTGGTAGCCTTGTGACTGAGCTCCATAGGTATGTGTTGCTGTAAATTACACATACTGTCCTAATTAAGAATCTCCAAATATTGTAATGATGGCTTTGCCTATTGATGCAGCTGTGGGTTAATGTAAGTAAACACCAAATAATGTCTTGTTCGATATAAAATAAATGTGGATACCTCATATTAGAAGCACGGATACTAATTCATGTGAATTTATAATTAGGTTTAGTTATTCATATCAATTTTATAGCACTATAAAAATGGTTACGGACAGGTATCTTTATATTACTTGGTCATTCCCCAGGAACATAATTTCTCACCATGGAAAATTGCTTGGACTAGATCCTGGAAGAATTCCTAGTAATACTGCTGTCAGTCATTTTGCAGAGACATTGGCTAAGGCTTGGTGCGAGTATAATGATCCCAGGTCAGTTTGTGGAAATTTTGTCTTTGGTTATTTTTTCTTGTGTTGCTGGATTGGTTTTTCTGCTATAATTTGTGAATACAAATTTATAAATGGTTCTGTGCAGGGCTGTAATTATGTTTGTGATTCAGGCTGAAGAACGGAACATGTATGATCAGCATTGGCTTTCTGTAGTTTTGAGAGAAAAATATCCTTTTTTGAATGCTTGTCCAAATAATAGAAGTTTCAATTCTGTCCGCTCTTCAGCCAGATTGATTATGAAACCAGCTCTATCAAAGTGAAGATGAAGAGCGATGTTAAATAATTTATATATAGAAGTTGTTATAACTGGAAATAAACTTTTGTATTTTGGGTGCTCTCTTCTATAGGGTACTTCATTCAACATCTTGCAATTTTTTTCACATCTCAGAAATTGTATCAGAACATGATGTTAGGTGAAAAAAGCTTCTTCTTCTTCTTCTTCTTTTTTTCCTTAAATTTTGAGTTATTTTCCTTAGCTTTATAACACACATCATTTAGCAACAATCCGGAAAACGCTAGCAGAAATTGATCTAGAAGGAGAACTTCTACCAGATGGAACGCTTTCTTTGTATGTAGCCTTGAGCCTTCAAAACACTGAATTTCCTTCTCAAAGTACACGACTCTTCAAATTTTGTTTCTGACTGTGGAAACATGCAACGTCCATGGCATTGGCAGGAATGGACAGCCAATTGCAGTCATTTACTTCAGGGCTGGATATACACCGCTTGACTATCCTCAGAGTCGGTCAGCATCTTGACTTCAGTGCTCTGCTGCTAATTATAATTGTCCTTTCTGCTTGTAGAAATATCTGTTTATCTCCTTGTTGATTTACCTTCCTTCTTTGCTTGAGGAAATGTTAGCCTACTGAACCCAGTATGATTGGTTTGCAGAAGTATTTTTAACTCACTGGTATTGAGCGGTGAAATTGTCATCTTGTCAGTTAATATTTGATGAACAAGTGCGCTAGTAGAACCAGAACAACCAGGATTTATAGGACCCAGAATGCTAGACCTCCTGTCAAATAAAGTTAGGCATTGTGTAGTTTCAATTGCAATGGAGGCTATTTGATATGGGAGCCATCCTACATATATGCCAAAGACATCTATCTAAACAAACTAGAAATTAGATCTACTCAAACTTAGCTTGCAACCCTGGAGATGCAAACTAATTCTGAATTCAATCAAGTTCGGATTAATATATTAATACAAGTTTTGTTTACTCAGTTGAGTGTCTTCTCAGGATTCATTAAGTATCACATAGTATGTGGACGCTCCAAATGTTTTTCACTTGCATCATCTAGAAAATGATTGTTACTGTCTGGCACATCTTGCTCAACATGTAGGAATGGAGAGCTAGGCTTGTGATGGAACAGTCTTCTGCTATCAAATGCCCATCAATATCTTATCATTTGGTTGGATCCAAGAAAGTTCAACAGGAACTTGCGAAGCCCAATGTTCTTGAGAGGTATCTTGTGAAGCTGCTGCGATCAGAGTGTTTCTTACCCCGAGATCTCTTCCTGAACCTGAATTATACTGTAAACAGGTTCCTTGAAAATAAAGATGACGTTGCCAAACTGCGCAAATGCTTCGCAGGATTGTGGAGTCTGGATGATTCTGACATTGTTAAAAATGCAATTGAAAGGCCAGAATTATTTGTAATGAAACCCCAAAGGGAAGGAGGAGGTCGCACATTACCTTAACTATACTTCACCCTTTTCCTGTTTTGTTTACAAAAATATAATAAGATAGAGTGAAAACTATTTAATGAGTTGTAGTTACATTACAGGGAACAATATCTATGGGCATGCAGTGAGGGAATCTCTATTAAAATTGCAGGAAGCAGGATCTGAAGAAAATGCAGCTTACATTCTTATGCAGAGGATATTTCCGACTAATAATTCAACATATATCATGCGCAATGGCTATTGTCACGAGGATCAAACGATTTCAGAACTTGGGATATTTGGTGCTTATCTAAGGTACATACTACATAGCCTGTTTATGTACGAATCGTAGTTCTATGCTTTCTCAAATTGCAAAACTAGTGACACCGATGGACTGCAATTACAGGAACAAGGACAAGGTCATGGTAAATGGCCAAAGTGGCTATTTGATGCGTACAAAAATATCGTCATCTGATGAAGGTGGAGTAGCGGCTGGCTTTGCTGTATTAGATAGCGTATATCTGACGCTATAGATTCCAAGTTGTCAGGGTAGTCCAAAACAGCATCGATGGTTTACATGATACATGTAACTTGTTATTCGCCTCTAGATGAATTTATTTGTTGGCATACATAAATGGGCAGGAGGTCCGTTTTTATTTATGGATTAGGGGCGCTTTAATTTATGGCTCTCTAGAAAAAGGGGCCTTGATTCGTCTCGATTAAACTTTTCGACTGTTCCCTAACTTATAATTCTTATCAAAATGCTAGTTTGATTGGAATCTCATCATCTAGATTATCAGATTTTCGACAACAGTTCAATCAAAAGAAAAATGAGTTTGAATGTTGTTAATAATTTTGTATTGCTCTGAGGATCTACTGTACAGCTAGCTCGCAAAATGTAAAAGTTGAAGACACTTGAGGTTCTCTTCAACCGCATATTTGCACGCGTGCGTGTGTGTGTGTGTAAAGAGACTAAAGCTGATCAACGTTCCTGATTCCAAATGAAATCGTCACATGCCTGAGACAAACGACAATGGAGGCTCCCGCTTGACACATCACCCGATGCAAGCGTCTAGGAATCGCTTAAAGAATAGATTTGTTTGTAGTATTGATGACTGTTGACTATAAAAATAATGATGCTAAAAGAATTCGTGGTTTCAAAAGCAGAAAGAGGGCACACTATCGAGTGGTTTCAACTTGTGCGTCCAGTGTCATCATCAGAATCGTCAGCAAGATGGTCAAAGAATTCATCCAAGTACCAGGGGCAGTGATCGTTCCAGGCACCCCTATCTGCAGTGGCCCTCCACTTCTGGTCAGCTATCATGTCAGGGGAAAGCCCCCATTCCAAAAGTTCTTCGTCACTGTGATGCGCTGCTAAACTGTATTCCCCTCCTCTCCCCAGCTGCATCACCCGGATTTCACAGTTCCCTGGATTGTTTAAATGCTCAAATTGTTGCACTGTCCACTTGAACCACTTCATCAAGAATACCCGTGATGTCAGTCCGTGTGACACAATCACCAGATTCAGATCATGCCTGGTATCCATGTGTAGCCTGTTCATGTCTATGTCCCTCCACAGCGATTCTAGGAAATCTGCTCATTACATAAATAAAGTCATCAGGGGGGACTTCTCCAAAACAACAACACAGTTCAACAATCAAAATGCATGTGCATAAATGAATGAAGATAAAAAGACATAGCCATGAAGACCTGGCAATGCACAATACATCGACCTGTAAAACACTCAGGCAAATTTATCATTCTTCAATATGGCGTTTACACTTTAGCAAGCTAAACATGAGTGGAAAAGAAGAGTAAATAGATCCAGGATTCCAATTATGGTTCCCAAGTAAGACGGGTCAGACGCAGGGCAACTCATTTGAAAAGAACAGCTGGGGTAAACTTTCAGTTCAGAAAGAGATACAATGTTCGCAATCACTTCTATAGTTCTTCCAAAAAATTCAAGAAAACTAGTTGGCCTTTTTTCTTTTTCTTTGTTCTAACCCCGCTTAATACAATGGCCGGTCGAGTGAATTTAATTGGAAGCACTAATAAACAAGTCCAATGGAATCCACCGCCGAAAAAGAAAGGTAAAGAGAAAGAATGAAAAGGGAAGAAGACAGTACTTGAAACGCGATCGAAAACATCGGCAGCGGACTCTCCCTCCGGAAAGCGATAGTAGAACCTGCCGAAGCGTTCGCGCGTCTCCTTGATGACTTTCATCCTCTCTTGCACCTGAAAATTTCCGAAGTCTTGCTCCCGGATTCGGCACTCCTCTCTGACGCCAAGAACCCTTTTCTTGGAGAAAGATCGACCAATCTCGCGGAGGGTCGATCGAGTGCGGTCGTAGGGGGAGACGTAAAAGTAGAGCCGCCAATTGGGACAAGAGTCGCCGCCAGCAACGACCTGCCGTAATTTAGCTCCGGCGAGGCGGGCCTGTGCAATGCCTTGTTGGGTCAACTGAATCTCGTGGTCAGGGGTGGTGGTATAGGCTGCAGTGTCGAGGTTGCCGTGAGATTCACCGTGGCGAACCAGTATTATTCTCTTGGGAAGAATTGTCTTCTGATGCGGATGCATATCCTCTCCTTCTCCTTGTTCTGAATACGAATGGATCAAACTCAAAGAAAAGTGAGATATGTGGAACGTCTTCAGTCCATATGGATTTTTTAGGGTTTCATATTTCGTGGGGACGCTCTACTAGTCTCTGTCTGAAAAGGAAGAAGATTGGTCTCCTCCCTCTCTTTTGTACGACTTCAACTTCAATAGAATGCTACTGCTTGGTTGGTATTCAGGATTTTTTTTTTTCTCCCATGAAAAAATTGTGACGGCTTTTGTCCGCTGAAATTGACGATCGAGGGTCGAGACTCGAGACCACCGTGAAGATTCTTGACGGTTAAATAACAACCGTGAAAACGATTTTGCCTTTTTGCATGTTTAGTCTCCAGTGTTAATAATAATTTTTTGAAAAAAAATGACGTTTCACCGAGTGCAAGAACGGCATAATTTAAAAGGTAAATTAAATCTTAAAAAAAAAAAAATGTAAAAGCTATCTTGTGCCAGCTCGAGTGATAATAGGAAAGCACAGGTAAAAGTGAATGGTCAAACTACGTAACAAAATAGTGGGATTGAACTTTAAAGTATTGGTAGGGGGAGGGGGTGGAGAGGTGGGTGAGAAACTAAAAATGGTAACGAAATAAGTATTTGTTTATTAAAAAAAAACTTAGAAAAGAAAGGGAATAGCTGTGGCGTGGCCTCATAGACGAGCATGTTTGCAGTTTGAAGGCATTTCAAGTTTGGTGAGTTACAAAGGGGACGTTTGAATTTGCTGATTCTGGAGACGCGTCGTGATCTGTAATCCAACAAGATGCCTTCGGCTAATAGATCCCTTTCACACCACGTCGCGCTCCTTCCCGTTTCCTTCTCGTAATACTAATAATCATCTCTCCCGTTACTCGCCCTGTAAGAGAATCATTCACTTCACAATATTTATGTAATTTTTGGATTTGATTTGATTTCAAGCTTGAGGAAAATACACTCAAAAATATCAACGAATAAATATTTCCATATCATTTTTTTATTTCACTGAAATTTGTTTAAAGATATTTATGTTAATTTATTTAAGATTGGCTAAAGATATTTCAGCTGATCGGTAATTTTTTTTTTGTTTTTTTGTTTTTGAAGGATTTGTTATTTTGATCTTGAAAATTTTGCATAAGAAATAGTAAGATCAATATATTTTTTTTTTTCAAATGATAAAAGTGAACATAACATCAAAAGGATTACAGAGTGATTATAGTCCGATAATCTAAGATGAATAATCAATTCAAGCCCAGTTCACTTTTGCAAAATTAAGTTAAATAAATCGGAGACAGCACAAGGAATGCCTTGCTTGATATGTCCGAGTGGTTAAGGAGACAGACTTGAAATCCGTTGAGCTTCACCCGCGCAGGTGCGGCTTTACATTTTAAGACTTGACTTGTCCCACTACCTTAAAATAAAATCTAATCATTTGGATTTGGTGCAGATTAAATTTAAATGGTTTAAATTTAAAATTTTTACTTTTTATTTTTATTTATATTTTATATTTATAATTTTTGTATCTTTTAAATTAAATCTGAATCATTTTGATTAGTGATAAAATAGATTTATTAAAAGTTTTAATTTTAATTTTAGTAAATATAAAATAAAAATAAAAACTTTAAATTTGAACCATTCAAATTTAATCTATACCAAATCTGGACGGTTCAGATTTTATTTGAGGGTAGTGGAGAGGAAAGGTAGTGGAGACAAGCTAACTCTTATATTTATTCTCATTAAATCCGCACAAAGTTGTTCACATTTCTAAGTAAATAAATAATGATTAATTATTCCTCCTAATAGCTTCCAACATAATATATGCATGCAGCCCTTACCTATTCAGCCTAGACTAATATATGCACAAAGATTATAAGAGATTAATAATGGCCTTGGAAATTCGGGGGTCAAAAGAATGTTGTAGATGGAAAGAACGGGTCACGGGAGATGGGGGCGGCTTTGTTCTGTTTCGCATGCATCATTCATTCGGTTAGACTAAATCCACATATTCAATTATTTTTGGTGTCTATTATGAATATTCTCTATTTAAAAATCCCACGCCAAAGATGATGAGAAAGTGAATGTCTCGAAATGAAGTCAGACCCATAAGCATAACTCGATCGATCATGCAAGAACAATGGTGTCAGAAAGCCGGTTTTGTTCGGAATTAATAAGGTTTGACTTGAAGAGATTTAGAGTGGATGTTAGGCGAGTGATACATGGATTTGCCCCAAACTTGGACCCTTAGTCTCTGGCACCAACATTGTGACGAGCAGAAGCAGTGAACCAGAAAAAAGGGTGTACATGAAAGACGTTCCCGCTAATCCAACAACAAACATGTTTGCTACAGAGGATGTTCGCATGGTATTCTTGCCGTACCCAGTGGATAAGCTACACTGCATCCCTGAATGCATTGCCAATCACGCAAAAACACCTGCTACTTCAACAACTAATATTATTTTGGACAATGCTGGTATGCATATATTTATAACAAAAGCATCAAACATAAAATAGGGCCCGTATATATATGTACAGGACACTTGTCAATATCCCAATGAGCACTAAAATAGGAGCAAGCTTGCTGAATATATGAGCTTCCTGGTCATCATAAGGTTAAGGAATTTTATAAATGCACAATTGTCTATTGGTATATACATTATTTTAAGACCCGGACTGACGGATCGGTTGAACCGCTGCCCAGAGAAAAAAAAGTCTAGTTCAATCATTTAGCTCATCTTGGCTATTGACTCAAGTTGATCCATTTTGACTCAAGTGATTCTTGAAGACACGAAGCAAAAACCCAACACTCGAAGTGGTTGACCCATTTTTTTAATATATATATATATTATTTTTTATTTAATTATTATATTGTTGGTTCAATCACCGGTCTAACCGGTTGAATCATGAGAATCGAGACCCACTGATCTTTTCGATTCATTGTCTAGTTTAATTTTTAAAACATTAAGTATATATTTATGTTTGCATAAAGAAAAATAACATGACGTGTATAACTTCAGTTGCAGCATGTATAAACCTTAAAGCAAAATGACAAGCCAATGAAGAAGCAGCTCAAACACATGCCAGCAGTAGACAACAGCAAACAATTAACTATATCGCCTATACTTTAAATCAATAACGGTGAGGCGTATTTGAACAAAATATCAACAGACCATTCTCATTCCCCATCCTTGATTGAGTAGTTCATCCTCCAAAATTTATCAGCCAAGGTTACACTCACAGCCATGGGAGCGCCACGTCGAGTTCCACAAGGGGTGGGGAATGCAACCTCTAAACTTGGAGAAAATTATAAGTAATGGTCATATGTTTTCCTACTTTACATCCCTTTGTTCAAATATTTTACACTTCTTAACCCAATTTTAAAAATATTTGGGATCTAAAAAAAAAATTAAACATGTTCAACTGAAAGTTAGAAAAATTTAGCCCAAAATTTTAATAAGAAAAGGTTAATTAAATTTGTCAAGTTTTATCCATGTGAGTTTTTTTCCTCTAATTTAATGATGCTTAATAACTAGCTTCACACTTACATAATTAATATGTGAAATAATACTGAATTTGTATCATTAAAAGAAATTGGTAATTTTGCCAAAAAAAAAATTAGTGGAAACAAGAAGAAATATAGTCTGTCCCTTGGTTTATACTTTTTTTAAGTTAACAATAATATTGCCGATTACTATGGCAATGGTAAAAATAGTCTTTTTTATTATAAAGTTTGTAAAAAATAAGTTGCAAAATTATATAGGAGGTTTCATTGATAAATAATTGTTTGGTAACTTATATTGAATTTTTTGAAATACTGAAGATGAAATGATTGCTCAATGATTCTCAAATAAAAGGCCATACATGATACGATAGTAAGATATGTACCTATTTTTAAAAAAATTATTAAATTATTAATTTTATGAAATTGTATATGCGCCCCAAAAAATTTGTAGTGACATTAAACCAACCCCAATCTATCATAACCCCAAAATTGCATATTGTTATGATGACTTGAGATTTTGCATCAGAATTTATTATTTTTGCAAATTAACTATTGTTCATGTGTGAACAACAAATAATCAAGCGTGCTAAAGACGCTAAATCTCAATTGATAACAAAAAGGACCCTGAATTCCCTTGTCATAGTTCACCTGGACATAAAAAATATGCAAGACTTGATAGAACAAGTGTTTTTTATTTTTATTGAAATGTGAGAAGGTTACAAGTCTAAATTGAAGATAAAAACTAACTAATAAACCTAAAAAGTTATGAGTGCAGAATGCGAGTCTTTATTGAGTGTTGATTGTCTTTCTTTTGTACTTTTGTATTTTATTTATAGTATCAAAGTGATGGTAGCATTTCCCTTAAAAGTTAAAACGTTATGTCGAATAATTGAAGATCTCGCAAAACTCATGGCACGATCCTTACTCAGTGTCTCTCATTTTTGGCAACTAGCCTGTCTCACCGAGATACTTGAACACAATGATGCTACTTCCGTGGATTCTGGAATCACTTGGGATCTTGTCTTTATATGCCAATGATCCAATGTTTACAACCGGTGAAATTTTGGCATGTTCATCCTATTATGGCTTTATATTAAGCTCAGGGTCAACCTTTTTGTTTAGATTGGGTTTGACTCTTTAGTCACTCAGCCAAAATAATTTTATGACCTACCCAATATTTTGACGAGTGACATTTTATATTTTAACCCAAACAACTACTAAATTGACATGTAAAGAACAACGGCTATAATAATATAATGGTTAAAATTATACCATTTATTTCAATTTTGTTGGGGTCAAACTTGGGCTGTTAGCTTCAAATATTCAAAATAAATTTAATTTAGTCAGATACTCTCTTCATTAAAAAATGTAAGGTATTTTTAACCGAATCTGACCCCCAATAATGTATTTATTTACTTTCAAACTAACCCTATCTTTTTATATTTATCCCTATTAAACACCCTACAGTAAATAAGAAGTCAACATCAATAGGGATACTTAAAAAAAGTAATGATTACACCTCAAAAAATTAAAAATATCTTATATTTTTTAACATCCAACTCTTTAAAAAATACCTTATATTTTTTAACGAAAGAAGTAGATGACAAATGATGTTTAAGAACATTAATGCAGTAAGGACTGAGGAACAAATATGAGCTGATACATTTACGTCCAATGATTTGTTAAATAAATTGTTAAAAAAAGAAAATAGAAGCAAGGATAAAACTAGTAGTAATTGAGATATATCATTCAAATATATCAGACAAACTCATTGGCCACTTGAATAAAATATTATTCTTCGAACATTGTGCTATAGTAGACTCGGGTTGCTGGAATCAATGTAGTGTAATAAAATTAAAATATTTATGTTACTTTTATAATTATATTTCACTTATAATTATAAGAAATATTTTCTCCTCTAATATACGGTATCTAAACCATGCAAAAATTTTAGCTGGGAAGATAATTCCTATCAATGAGCGACAAATTATTATTAGCCCAAACAGGAAAAAGCCCAAGGGCCGAAGTTGATATTGCCGTAGCTGGTGTTGGCCGAAACAATTGCTGTGGCTGTTGGAAGACGTCAGACTAGAAAACCCGCGTTTCGATTTCCGACCATAAGAACGAAAAAAAAGAAAGAGAAGAAGAAGAAGAAAAACAACGTCGCCTCATGGCTGACACGTTACCTCGTGAAACGTCCTCACTTCCCGTGGAGGGTTCAAATATGGGAGGAGAAATCGCAGCCGAGGCATTATTATTAGCTCCTGTCCAGAGCTCTGTCGAGCTTAGCAGCGACTCTTTCGGAGCCTTGTTAGACCGGCGGAAATACCAAACAAACAAAATCCTCTCGGAAGTTTTCTCTGGCCAATGGTAGTGGGTTCGTGGCAACGACAATTTTTTCGCGTTTAGTTTCTGGGTTTATGTTCACTTGATTGCGTAACTCAAAATCGATAGCTTTGCGAGAAGAAGAATTAAAACAACGGCTTTTACCGCTCTCGAGGCCACTATACCGCGACCGTTCTATTTGTCGGTTTTCTCTGCCACATTGACCTCTTTATTTGTTTTACTTATTTTGCAAGGTGTGAGCTTTCATGGCGGATGGCGTTGACATGTGATCATAATGTATGTTACTTGCGGTATGACTGTGTCTTCCGACTTCCGTAATGTTCCATTGATTTAATCGGTTTTGTCTTTTTAACGGAGGGAAATTTCATGCATCTCTTCCCTCTTTGTTTTCTCTCTTCCCTGATGTTGATAAGATGGGTGCCATATCGCGGATTTTGCAGATAGATAACCTACGAGTTATGAATGTACAAGTTATCGAAAATGCTACTGGTGATTCCGAAGTATGAAGTTTTGCGTGTTTTTAAAGCAGCTCTTTATCAAAACCTGGCTAGTTACAGAGTCTTAGCTTGGGGATGCTGATATATGGTATTAGGCTATTAGCATGATTGCCAAAGGGGATTGGAGGATGTGATGCACATTATTTTTCTTTGAGGTTTCTGTGCAATTCATAATTTCTCTACACACTCAATCACTTCTGTAATTCTCAGCTTCAAAAGTTCAAAGGTACATTGCCCAATTACATGATTGAGTTTTTGCTAGTATTTTGTACGCTTTTGGCTATGGCTATTATCAGACAATCAGTTGCAGCCAGATGTGTGTGTGTAATGGAGAGAATTATGTTTCAAGTGCTGTTTTATAATCTGTTTACACTTATCAATCCTCCGCTCTATGGACAAGAAGGAAGAAAAATGCACGACAACAACTGCACGGACAGGTTGTTTCCCATTGCTAAAACTTTGAAATTGTATGCTACGCAGGGACAATAGAATGGATTCTGTCAACAAAATAGAGATAGTCCCAGCCAATGATTCTTTAGTCAAACATAGCAAACGAAGCTTTCTGTTTCGTTCCTCCACTTCTGCCCAAGGTTCTTGCACTAAACTACTCTCTCTCTCTCTCTCTCTCTCTCTCTCGGTCTGCCTATAATTCCATTTCAATCCTATATCAGACTTGAGACATTTTGAACTTGAGAAGGAGAAAGAAGACGTTTCATCTCCTAGAGGAGTGTTAGAAGCCTGCATACGAGACTTTGATTCTTCTCTACAATCATCCGAAATGGAGAATCGCTGTTCAAGGTCCAGGGCACAAATTAGTTGGAGCAAATATTTAAAAAATTTGAAGAAGAGGTCAATTAAGCGTCTAGCATCCTTCCCTCCTCTTGTTGCACCAACGATAGCAAAAGGGAAAAGCAAAAGCAGTAGAGAAAATCCTGTTTTGACTAATGTATACAACTTTAGATCTTCGTTGGCGAACTTCACACTCTCTGAATTGATAAATGCAACCAACAATTTTAGCAATGGTCTGTAGCCTGTTTTTGAAATTAATCCCTTTATTCCCCCCCTACTCAAGTCAAGCATGGCATAATTTGGTTGGAAAAGTACTCATTTGGAAATTTGTGCTGCCTATATAAATGGGTTTGTCTTAATGGAATTATTTTTATTTACAGAAAATATGATCGGAAGAGGTGGCTATTCTGAAGTTTACTGGGGTCGTCTCGGAGATGGGAGTTTAGTAGCTATCAAGAGATTGACTAAAGGGACTCCAGACGAGAGGACTGCAAGCTTTCTATCTGAGCTAGGTATTATTGCTCATGTTGACCATTCCAATATTGCAAAGCTTATTGGATGTGATGTAGGAGGTATGCACCTTGTCTTCCAACTTTCTCGACTGGGAAGCTTAGGATCTCTCCTTCATGGTTTGTAGCTGGTCTGCGTTTTCCCTGTGGGTAAACTATTGTTGTTTAGGTAGATTTAGTTGTTTACTCCTTACTCTTTGCGGACATGTTCAGATCCAAGTAAAAGCAAGTTAGATTGGAGTAAAAGGTATAAGATTGCTCTGGGCGTAGCCAATGGCCTCCTCTACCTTCATGAGAGTTGTCACAGGCGAATCATTCATAGAGATATCAAGTCAGATAATATACTGCTCACTGAAAGCTTTGAGCCACAGGTAGTTTTTATGTTTCCATGGATAGAATGAAGAAATAAATTCTGTGCATCGGTGCCCAAACCTCAGTATTTCAGGTTCAAAAGGCTCTATGCATGCATTCCTCGGCCTCCTTTGTCCTCACAAGTGTTGTCACATTCGAATCATTCAAAGATGTATTAAATCATGAACATCATGCTCTTAATATTTCACATAAATCCATAATTTTTTTGTAGCTAGTCATATCAATTAAAATCCTACCAAGGCGCTGTTTTTGAAACCAATGACTACTCGGTTAGAGGTATTTCCAATATGCAATGTTAAGAATAGTTCTAAAATAGTTACATCATCATGGTAACAACATGAACCATCTCTCTTTCATCTCATTTATAAGATCCTGATTAAATGAGATTTTCTCCAGATCTGTGACTTTGGGCTGGCAAAGTGGTTACCCAAACAATGCACTCACCATAATGTATCAAAATTTGAGGGCACATTTGGGTATGCAAGGAAAAAAAAAACAGTTTATAGAGAGTTTGAGGTTGTACTTAATAATATGATATCCTCCTCCCTTATCTGCTTGGCAGGTATTTTGCTCCTGAATATTTCATGCATGGTGTAGTGGATGAGAAAACTGACGTTTATTCTTTTGGGGTTATATTGTTGGAGCTTATAACTGGGCGTCCAGCTGTGGATGAAAATCAGCTTAGTGTTGTACTATGGGTAAATTATTTTCTCTAAAGATTGTATTATGTTGCAGTATCCTATTGTCATTACATGAGAAGCTTCAACTCATGATTTCTTGTAGGCAAAGCCTTTGCTTGATGATAATAATATTAAGGACCTTGTTGATCCTTGTCTTCGAAACGACTATGACAGAGAACAGATGGATCGGGTTGTTTTGACTGCATCTCTGTGCATTGAGCACTCTCCTGTCTTGCGTCCCTGCATGAGTCAGGCAAGTCCACAACTTTGAAAGTCGAATATCTATAACTGCTTCATTCAAATTCATATCCTGCATAATGGACATTGTCATAAACTCATCTGGAAGATACATAACAATTTCGTTTAAATTCAAATCAAAGAAAATATCCATGTTAAAATTCTTCTTCCCTTCCCTCAATCCATCCATCCATCCATACATGCTTGAAGTTGTGAATAAACTTGTAAGTTAAAGGTCTTATTAGTGTGATACTTTTGTTTATGCCATTAATCTCATTAACGGTGGCCATGAATCATGATTCAATTATCTTGTATTTGCTGAGGGAGAAGAGATGAGAAAAAAGAAAAGTGGATCATGTTTTCTGTGTTGGGAGCAGGTTGCAATACTGCTAAGAGATGATGACTATGTGAGACAACCTACAAATGCAAGCCGAAGGTGGTCTTTCCTTAGAACATACTCTCAAGAGCTTTTGGATGCTCAAGAATACAACTCAACTAAGTATCTAAATGATCTCAATCAACACAAGAAGATTGCTCTGGGATCTTAAGTGCTTTGGTTGTTAGTACTAAAATGATGTATATAAATTTGGAGCTGGTCAATTATTGGTAGCTTCTTTTAAGAGTGAAGACGAGATTTTTGTAGTGTTTGTGCATGGAAAATGAAGTGAATTGTACATATCAATTACGAATATGCTACTCACATGACGACTGTATCTGTAACCTTTGCAGTAATATGTGGGAAGCATGCAACACAATCATGTAAAGTCTGGTTAACTATTGAAAAGGTAGTTATTTCTCGTGAATTTCTAACCCGGTATCCAGCCCAAAAATTTTTATAGCGCCATTTTTTTTTTCATGTACGGTTGGTATTGACTAATTTTACATTAGATGCATCTGGAAAATTGAGTGTTTTTTGCTCAATTTTCAAAATATATTTTGAATGCATAAAATTCTTGAAAATTTCATCATTAGAAAATGATGTTCCAATTGTTTTGATTTAGTTGATGCAATGCTGTGGAGTTGTATAACAAGCACACGTTCTATGCTCAATGACAAAGTCAATATGTATGTATATCTAGGGAAACAAATCCTCCCCCCCCCCCCCCGGGGTGTTTTGCCAAAAAGAGGCAATAGTACCAACTTGAAAACGTGTTTTGCCTAAATTGGCGGAAAACCATGCAGAGAAGTAGGAGAATAATTTTGAAAGATGAATGAGGCGCGGAGGAAATTCTGAAATATGAATTAAATTGTGTTGCATGAGGGTCATTGGCAGGAACAGAGTCAGAAAATTTTATTTGAGAGCCAAAATGACAAAGCATGTATAATAATTAAAAAGAAATTAAATATATATATATCACTAACATAATATAAATATTTCAACACATATATTTATATTTAATTTTATACACACACATATATAACAAAAATAAATATATATCTCCATTTTTTAAGTTTTGCTCATTAATTTTTCATAATATAAGAAAAATTAATTATCATGTTTATGATAAAGTTTTAAAAAAATTTCTTCTCAATATGAATTATCATTAAATTGGTGAATGTTTCATCTTACCTATAAGTGTTGAATAATTTAAATGCATTCTTGGAATTTAAAGTTATGTTCAATATAAAAAACTCTATTGCTTACTTATTGAATTTATTATTTAATTCTTTTAATTGATATATTCTTAATTCAATATATTTTGAAATTTTTGTTACAGTACTTTAAAAAGTTTATTAATAATCTTTCATTAAATGTAAAATGAAAACAAAACCAAATGATATCAATGTTTTAAAAGTAACTATAACGTTATTTTATTAAAAATAAATAGATCCTATGATAACTATCCTCAAGTTATTACAATAGTTGCACTATAAATATGTAAAAAATTACTATAAAATTGAAATAGGAATTTTATATAGTGTCTCAAAGCTTCTATAAATATATCAACTTAGAGGGTCAAAAATATATAACCCTTACATTTTATTTAAAAAATTAAAAAGTTAGAGGAGTTGTGGTCTCCACTGATCCCCTTATCTCTGGCCCTAGTCGTTGGTAAGTTAACATTCCTACCATGCCCCAATGATGAAAAATGTCACCTTTAAAAGTGAAAGCAATTAAGACCTCCCTTAATAGGGTGGGTGACTTTTTGATGAAATCAAAAATTATAATAGAATTAAATTTTAAAAATATATTTAGTATGAAAATGAAATCTTAATATAACCAAAATTATTAAACTCACAAGTTTAAGTAAACTCATGAAGGAATGCAAACTCATATCGTAAACTCATAAGAGCTTACCTTTATTAACAAATAGTTATTAAAATATAATTATAATTTAATTAAATATATTAAAAATATAAATTATTAAAATTAAACCTATCTATATTAATAAATTATCATATACAAGACATATTTTTGAAATTTTTGTTTTTTATTAATATTAGTTTTTGCATTTCAAGTTTTTTTCCCCTCAAACTAGGTTTTATAACTTTTATAAAATGAATTTTTCATGATATATACTTAACTCTCCCAACTCAAAAAATAATTGATGAATTTAACAAATTTAACTAAACTTGCATTTAATCAGAATTTATGAGTGAGTTGACATGATTTTGTAAATTAAAAACGTAAAAACGGTAATCTCACAAGTTTCACTTAGTTTGTATCTAGTTCGAGTTTATAAGTAAATTTATACAATTTTATAAGTTGAAAATATAAAAATATTAAATTCGTAGAATCAACTTAAGAATTTGACAATTATAGATATAACGTTAATCAAGTATATGTATTAAAAAGCAGGAAAAGACCATAATGCACTCTCTACAAAATTTAAAACACTTCCTTTGTCCCCTGCAAAAAATCTGGATTATGAATCTTCCGTTTTAGCTTGATGCGGCTTGTGACGACATAGATTTCATCAAACCTATCCGTTTCTGCAAAATCTCTAAATGGCGAGAAAAAAATTCAGAATTACCTGAAGATGACCGCAAGCACAAAAGTGAATGCTGGAACTAAAATAGATGCAATTAATTACACACCCAAAAAGAACGAGGGGGAAGAATTGCCGAGAAGCGGGAGAGAAAGTGGAGGCCTCTTTTTCCTGGAACGTGAAGAAGAGGAAGTCAAAACGGAAGATAGACGAATCGATTCCAGCAAGAAGCGCTTGAATTCCATTTGAGCTCTGAGAATTGAATCTCCTGCTTCTGAAGAACAGGATCACCGATCTCCCTCTGGTATCTATGATTGAGGAACCGCGCACAGCAACGCTTCCTCTGTTTTCATGTACAGGTTCAGATTCTCGCCGTCGACTTGTTGCGCCATACTTGTCGTTAAGCTCTTGTGGATCAGAATCATGCCCTTCGACGACCCTGTCATTACAGATGAGAACGGCAGACGGCAGTGCCACCGATTCGTCCGGGTAGATCTCCACCTCTGGTTCCTCGTTCTCGTAGGCTTCAGTCACCATTGAGAAATGAATGCACTTCTCCGGTGGTCATCAACGGTGATCACTGATCACCTTAGCTGATTCTCTCCTTTGTCCACGCCGGCCTCATGGTCTCGGAATTTTCCAACGCGAGCAGATTGCACGATGATCAGTTCCGAGCAGGCAAGGGCAGATGTTTCTATTTTGAAGATGAACCCAGGTGTTTATAATTAATCATCTCGTCATCTAACGATACTCCCTTCAATGAGTCAGTAAATGTCCCTGATAAAATATACATGTTTTTAGATTCTCGACTGCAAGTCTATGAAATTTACTTAGATAATGAATTTAACATAAATTAAAATCCAAATAATTTATAATCCCCCCCCTTTTTTTGGCCAAACCAAATAATTTACTATAATTCAAACACGACGTAATAGTCATCACAGTATAAAGTAGGGTAGATATTATAATAAGAAGGGAGAATAATAAATAAATTCCTTTAAAATAAAAAAATAATAATTTGATCATAAAAAATGTGATGATACCTTTAAAACCTCAAAGGATCTAACTGTTATTAAAATTTTTAATAAAATGACAAAATTATCCTGTAATTTAAAACACTGCAATGAAATTTTTTCATTTACAACTCTAATTCACTAAATGATTAAAAAAATTTAGAAATTTACAATTTTTCTCATGTTGTCTTTCGTCAATTAGCAAAGTGTAATAAGGTTTTTTATTCACAATTTTAATTTTAAAATTTACAACTTTAGTTTGATTAATGACTAACGTATTTAAGCATTTATCTCTCTCTCTCTCTCACCATTTTTTTCAATTACTAAAACGCACCAAAGTTTTTTATTTTTTTCCTTTTATAACTTTGATTCTGTAATTCACAAGTTCGGTTCAAAAAATGATTAAATTAGGTTAAACATTCACAACTTTCTTTTACCATTTTTCTTTACTTTTTTAGATTAAGGGATTTTTTTTTCATTTAATCCAAGACTTTAATGATAATTAGATCCTTTAAAACTTAAAAGTAATTATCACATTTTACATGAGCAAATTGTTATTTTTTTATTTTGAGGAATTTATTTATCATTCTTTCAATAAGTAGTTTCCCAAGACTATCTTATATTCTCATTTTATTCTATCAAAAGCTTCATCGGGAATCCAAATAATCCTTCATGTACTGGATGTAAATGACAAGCCACCCATTAACCTGGTTAGGCATGGAATTATGTATCATGGGAATTGTTATCAAATCGTAAAATTTCAAGCAAAAAGCAAAAAGAAAAGAAAACCAAACACGTTGCAACACAGTACCTGAAAATTAGAGAACCTGCATGGTTGGATAGAATGAGAAGGGGATTGGTTGTCCATGATACGCAAAGGATGGAAAACAAGAAATGCAGCGGGCGATGAATTTGACCGAAGACAAGGGATTTTAGGCGAACTTACGGAGGCTAGGAGGAGTAGAGGACAAATGAACTTTGTAGGAAGAGGAGAAGGAAGCTCTGCTTGTGATGGAAGAAGAAGAACACTACGCTGAAAGAGGTGGAGGAAGATTTGCAGGTGACGCCATGGGCAAACGGAGCACACACTTCAAACGTTGTCGGCGACCGCAAAGAATGAGACGGAGAAGAGCACGGCCACGACATCTTGACTGTAAGGCATGATAGAGGGCAAGGTTTTGGTTACTCCGAATCAATAATTGATGTGAGTTGTTTCCATCAATTTTAAAATAAGACAAAAAGGATAAAATTGTCATTTCATTAAAAAAGTTAATTTGAAAGAAGTCCCTAAAACTTCGAAGTCATTGAACAATTTCACGGTCCTCACACGAGACATGCATATTTCAATAGCTTTTTTTTTTTTTTTTTCCATTTTCCCAATTAATTAGTGGCTTTTGTATGCCAATATCACACACATTTCAATAGGCTATAGTCAACATAAAAGAAACAAGTAGATCAAATTTAAAGATGAAATAAAGCAAAACAGTGTGAGCGAGCTACAATTATAACAGCGAGAGACATCAATGATGCTAGACAAAATGTAGTATATTGGTGGGAAAATAGAGTTACAAAACTTTTTGCATACTATGTTCATTTGTTTTGAACAAATGATTATATGTTTTTTATATTGCTGATAGGCAATACTATATCAAAATGTATATCTGCATATCAATGATAAATAAATTTATGCTTGATTATCTGGTTATCCTAATTTATAAAAATATATCAATGATATACTATTGTCTATCATTAATATACTATTGCAAATCAGAAATACAAAAACAATATAATCATTTGCCAAAATAGATAAAATTAGGTTCATAAAAAAATTTACACACCTTAACTTATCTTGAAAAATTAAATATCTAAAATAATAAAATGAAAAATCATGAATAGTGAGGGAATAATATGTGTTTTCTATTAGCAATTCAAACAAATTTTATAATTAGTGACAACGAATAATAGATTATGAATAAATAATTTATTGATTCAATGAAGATATCACCAAGATAAATAAAGATGATGAAAATTCAATGATGGATAATATTTTTCAACTTCTAGAAAACAGAATGCATGACAACTTTAATTCAATTAGCAAGGGAGAGAAAGAAAAGCATTAGCATGTGAGACTTTATTCCTCTGAAATGAAAAAATGATTGTGAATGCATAATTCAATTAGTTAAAAATTAAATATAAAAGATATATTGTATTTTAGTAATATATTTATTCTGGAGATAGAAAAGAAAAATCACATCTCATTAATTTCATGAATGATCCATATTTTAAAAAATTTAAAAGTTTTATCTATAATTTATGAAAACTGTATTTTTTAAAGTCACTGAGTTAATTTACTCATTAATGTATGACATAATATTTTATAATGCAATTATTTTAGTCTAATCGGAGAAAATGTATATTAAGTTAAATTAAAAAATATTACTTCTTTCATTCTAAAATATAAGAATTTTCTTTTATATAATCTCAATCTAAAATATAAATAATTTAATATTTTTTATTTTACTTCTTGTATTCATTAATCTAGATTATTAATTTTGTAAATTTATTACATTCTACCAACTCATTATCATTTTGAACTAAAATAAAAATAAAAATAAAAATAATATAAATTTTTATGAGAACTAAAATTTTATTAATATATAAATTATTATTAAAAATTATTTATATTTCGAAAGAAATAATATATAATAAATATATTAATGGTATGTCAGATTTTACTTAAATAAAAAAATTGATTATCAGATAGAATTTTAAAATAATTACTTAACAGAAAAAATTGTCAATACTTTCTTTTATGAGTTTGAAAAAAATTAAAAACGCTTGATAAGCTTTGGAAAATAAAAATCAGGAACAAAATAATATTCGGGAAAATTAGTGTTGTACTATAAAGCAATTGGTTGGGTGATGTGAGCGGCGGACAGCGGCGGTCCACCATCAAGCGAAACATGAATGGCTCGCAAATATTCGAAAACGAAAAAGCAATTTCCCGCGAATCTCAAAATAGATGCCAGGCTGGCAATCCGTGTGATAGCCCGTTGGCCAATCAGCACGCAGTCGCTCGGCTATACAGCTCCATTCCACGAGCGCACCGCAATTGCGCTTTGAATTCGAGACACCTCCTCTGCCAAATCTAGGGTTAGGGTTCGATCAGATCAAGACATGAGTTCGGCCGGTGGTACGACTAAGGGTGGCAGAGGCAAGCCCAAGGCCTCTAAGTCAGTATCAAGGTCGCAGAAGGCCGGCCTTCAGTTCCCTGTCGGAAGGATCGCTCGCTTCCTCAAGGCTGGCAAGTACGCCGAGCGGGTCGGTGCTGGGGCTCCTGTCTATCTCTCCGCTGTTCTCGAGTATCTTGCTGCTGAGGTTTGTTTAAATTTCTCCTTAATGTGATTTTTCCCGATTTTGGTAACCATGATCAGATGCATTTGTTATCGGTTCTTGTCAAAGTTTTATCTCGCGGATTTCTCTGTGGCGTGGACTCTGTCTGTTAAAGGTTGGGGTTAGATAGCTGATAATGGTGTGTATGTTCAGGTATTGGAGCTCGCGGGTAACGCTGCCAGAGACAATAAGAAGAACCGTATCGTTCCGAGGCACATCCAGCTTGCAGTGAGGAATGACGAGGAGCTCAGCAAGCTTTTGGGGTCTGTAACCATTGCCAATGGAGGCGTCTTACCCAATATCCACCAGACTTTGCTTCCTAAGAAGGTGGGCCAAGGGAAGGGCGATATTGGATCTGCTTCTCAAGAATTCTAGGGTTTAGGTTTCTTTTCGTTCCCTCAATTTATCGTAGTTATAAGGCACATGTTTGGTTGGCTTTTCTATAATACATAGCCTGTAGTAAAATTAAACTCAATGAACAGGTTAATCCTTCTGCGTAGTCTTTGATTTTCAACGTTTCTTTGCATGTGCCCAATGTACTATGCTTTTTTGTGCTTCTCTATGTCGATCAAGCTTCTTAAGGTAACCTACGGTTGGCGTAAATTCGAAGTGCTTCTCATCGCCACCGTTTCTTATTTTAGCCGATTGTTGGCAAAACCTTCCTTCAATTGAAGATTTCGGAAATGAGGATGGTGGGAAGGCGGCACCTGCATGACGTCTTTGCACGAATATGATATCAAATGAAGCTTTAAATATCACCATCGCCCCCAGCGTTAAATTGCATTTCAATATGATCGTCAATACACACTATTCCTGACTTGATGCAAATGCATTAAAAAGAAATCGGCATTAGTGTTTAGTTAAACAGAAAAACAGGTGTTCATTTCAATCGTTCAAGGCTTCAAGTTTTGGTCCAAATACACGTGCTCATCAGTAATTGAAGTTAATTTACACGTGCCTGTATGCGAAAATAAAAGGCGAAGGAGTACTTCACGCAACGGTGTCGTTTCAGTGTGGTGGGCTTTATGATCATCGTTCGTCCACATGTCAACGTTTCTTTACTTCTTAAATCAAAAGAACGAGATATCTGTATTTTTATATTTTCAATTTCTTTTTTTCTGGATGAGGTGGCCAAATGGTCATGTTTATTATGTGGACAGTATAGCATGCCATGCATGATGACTACCAAACACTGGATCCGGGGAAATGCTGTGATATTGAACATGGGATGGTAATTTCCTCCCGAAAGACTCTATCGAATGGGTGCTCTGATACATTATGTGGGTTTGGCGTTGTCATGTCCCAAGCGATTTAAACTTATGCCTTTGGCATCGGGGGTTAGATGCTCCGCCAAATTTGAGGTTTCGACGCGACAACTGCTCCAGCAAGTAGACAAGGAGCTTTCAAGTGGGGATGATAGAGCTGCACTCGCACTTGTCAAGGATTTGCAGGGCAAGCGTGGTGGGCTTCGATGTTTTGGTGCAGCCAGGCAGGTTTTGTGCTTTCTGGGTTTTATTTCTCTATTTTGTTTGAGTTTTACCTGTTCTTTCTCCTACGCTTGATGCTAACTCATGTCAACTTAGCTGAAACGGTTTACATTGAAACTCAGAAGGGAAGTGGCGTTGTTTAAAATTCTTTTTCTTCTTGCCCTATTTACATTTGAAAACAGCAGTTTGGAAGAAGTCCCAATTAATGGCTTTGCTTTTGTGCATTCTGTTTTATGTTTCTTGTCTTTTTTTCCCCCTTTGGGAAAAAGGGGGAAGGGGAGTTTTTTTTTTTAATTTATTTTGGGGGGGTGGGCGGCTAGGAGCCCTGGACAGGCGTATGTGGGGTTGGGAGATATTCAAGCGTATTAAAGGGAGCTTGTCATAGCTCTGTATCTGCTGGATAATCTGTTAACAAGATCATGTAGAAGTTATAACCACATCACAACAGTTAAATGCTTGGGGTCTACATCCATTGAGTATTTGTGTGTAGGTGCCTCAAAGACTTTACACCTTGGATGAATTGAGGTTGAATGGAATAGAAGCACCGTCTCTTTTATCACCGGTGGATGCAACTCTTGGTTCTATGGAGAGAAATCTACAGATTGCTGCTATTTTGGGAGGGCTTGTTGCATGGAATGCCATTGGACTTACCCAACAAGAAGTCTTCTATGCTGCTTTGGGATTGCTATTTCTATGGACCCTAGACTCGGTAATAAACTTACAATTTGAATGAATTTGATTCTTTCCCCCTCTTGCTATTTGGCTGGACAAATCAAATGAATCTCTTATTCAAGTGTCAACCGGTTCCTATTTGGTTGCATGTTCTACTCAACATGAGTATAGGTTTCCCTTGTTTGAGATGATATAGTCCCAGTGACCTTATCTTGCGTGATGATTATGGGGACAATCCACAATATCGGTCATTCATCAAATCTTTATTCTTCAGATATTACATTCCTGTTTGTTAACTCACATGTGACAACTCGCAATGGAAAGATTCTCTGGTTCTCGACCATGCTACAGTCTCATTAAATTGGTTGTTCATATAGGTCTCTTTCAACGGAGGACTTGGTAACTTGCTTCTTGATACAGTTGGTCACACCTTCAGTCAGAAGTACCGCAATAGGGTTATTCAAGTCAGACTCGTCTACCCATCTCATCATCTAAAATAGTTTTTGTGAGCATTGGATAGCCCTCAAAATAATTACTTATGCAGCATGAAGCTGGTCATTTCTTAATCGCCTATCTGGTAGGAATTCTTCCCAAGGGATATACACTTTCTAGTTTGGATGCTCTGAAGAAGGAGGGATCTCTCAATGTTCAAGCAGGGACTGCCTTTGTGGACTTTGAGTTTGTTGAAGAAGTAGGTTGTTTTATTTATTCTTCTAATTTTGCTATCTGCTTACTTAGAAGGGGCCAAAGAACGTGAGGTGGGGGAAGGTTTTTAAAACATTGGAAACAGTTATTTGCAGTCCTAGTCATCTGCCTTTTGGTGTTTGGTTATTTGCAGTCCTACATTCTGTGTTCTGGTGAGCTGATTTGAGTTGACAACCATTTGCTGTTAATTGTTAGTGCCTTTCTGTGTGTCATGCAGGTTAATGCTGGAAAAGTATCTGCTACAGTAAGTTACTGTCATATTGACATCTAAATTTTCACTGCTCGTTAGTTTGCTTCTATGATATAATCACTTGGCAGTTGACAACATATTTTGAATGCGGTGTTTTATATTGTTAGACATTAAACAGATTTTCATGTATAGCCCTGGCTGGCGTTGCAACTGAGTATCTGATATATGGAATTGCCGAAGGAGGTCTTGATGACATAAGAAAGGTTTATTCGGTTATGAACTGCTACTTAATGAGCTAACTAAAGGAAGGGCATTACACCACTAACAGGACTTTTTATTTTAATGATGGTAGTTGGATTTGTTGCTTAAAAGCCTGGGCTTCACACAGAAGAAAGCAGATTCTCAAGTCAGATGGTCTCTGCTAAATACAGTCCTGCTTTTGCGTCGACATGAAGGAGCTCGTGCTAAGCTGGCTGAGGCCATGTCCTTTGGAAAATCTGTAGGGTCCTGCATTGAAGTCATGGAGAATTTCATTGATGATTCAGATATCTGATTGAAATTGTGTCCGTATGTATAGTTACGGCTGAAAGCAAGTCCACTCAATTCAGTTTCCTTGTTGAAAAGTTGTGTTTGGATGGATGCCCCAAGGGCAGGTGACTGGGTAGGCACAGAACAATAATAAATAGATAATGATTTCGAACTAAACTAGCGCCAACTTTGTACACTTCTACAGAAATATAGAATTAGAATCCTTTTTCAGTCGTACAAAATTTGAAATAGCAAATTAATGATGTAAAATAAAACAACAAATCCAGTCTTGAGAATAATAGATGATAAAAAAATTATTTTACCTTCATATTACATAGTGATTTGTGTTTTGCGAAGGTATTAGTTCAATTATTTAAATTCAAGTCTGCATGAAATTAATCGAAGCTTTCATCCCAAGAAATATAATCTGTTTCGGTCTAATTGGGGAAAAGGAGAATTATTTGTTTAATTTTCTTGCAGGCTTCATCAACCCCGTTGTTTTTCAATGACTAATATCATACAAGTGATTTTCAAACATGGGTATTTAGGGGATTGGGACAGCCCGGTGTAGACTGTAGAGTGCTATCCCAAAGAGTCATGGGTCTGCCTTTTCAGCCCGTGTCTCGTCCAGTTTCAAGGATGTCTTGGTTCTAGACAAGAGAAGGGACATGACAAGGCAAGGCGGCTTGTTCACGCATGCATTCACACCCGCACACTCAACAAGCATCATCCAACAATCCATACGCACATTTTTCTCCAAGGCGGAACCACATTAGTGGTGTTTGAGGTAGGTAATGGACGAACTTGGTCTATATAAACTTGACCCTTAAATCCAAATTTTTTTAAAAAATTAATTTTTAAAATTTAACCTTTATTTAAAGGACTCAAAGTCAGACCCATAAACCTTTGTTATTATTTTTTTAAATTAAAAACTTCAATTATAACATTTCATATATTTTTAAAATAAAAATTATAATATTAAAAAATTTAAAATAAACAATAGAAAATCAAATTTTAAAGCATCAATGTATATTTTAAAATTTAAATTTAATTTAAAAAATAAAAATATTTTATTTTTTAATTTAAAATGAAAAAGGGCCGTCCAAGCTTGTTTTTTCAGAGCTTATCAGGGTTGAATTTCAAAGCTTGGTTTCCTAAAAAATAACACTTTTCAAGCCCAAACTCATGTGAAAATAGACTTAAATGGATAGCCCATCAAACTCAGTCTTTATTCCCAACTCTAAATGATATGAGGTGAAACCAGGTGCATGTGTGTCATATAGTTTAAAAGCCAATCCCACCCTTGACTCTTCTAAATGTGTGTGTATGCTTTTTACATATAATATAGTGTGTGTGTTACATTATATTATAAAATAAATTTATTAGTTTGTTGAAATATTTTTATTCATTAATATTCTTTTCATCTCAATTTATAAGATACTTTTAGATAAAATCACACATGTTAATAAAACTCATTAAATATACTTTACAACTTTATTGTTTAAAATAACAATATAAATTTTTAAAAATAGCTTTCATTTAATATTCTATTTATAAAAGAATATTAAAAAAATATAATGGAAATTGTAATATTGAAAAACTATTATTAATGAAGCTTTATTTTTGTGAAAGTGTTTCATAATTTAAAATGGGATAATATTAACTTTTTATTGATGAAAAAAGAATTATGAATAATATTTATATATGCAAAATGTCCATTTTTTAGCCTTTCAAATTAAATCATTTAAAATAACACATCATTTTTAAGATTGTCCTATACCAAAAAAATACATTTTCTCTTTAATCTTAATATTCAATGGCATCTAATTCTATAGAATTTATTTGGCTAAAAAAATTCTACATAATTTATTATATCCGAAATACTTAGTTACTTAAATTAATAATATTTATTCACTTAAAAAATTTGGCCCTCCTTGAATTAAACTTTGATTTTGCCCTTGTTTTTCTCCCTTTTAACTAAAGTATTGAAAACTGGATCAATCAATAAACCTATTGAGTGCTAGTTTAAAGGTAAATGGTTTGATTGGGATTAAACCAGAAGTTAAATTGATCATAATTAAAATAATATAATATATTTAAGACACACACTAAAAAATATATATTTAAAAGATCATAATATATAATGAATAATATAATATAATATTTGTCTAATCTAATCTATGCCCTGAACTCCTCACTAGGCTTTTGTTCAATAGTTTTTACGTGGGGAAGTATAACATGTTATCGGCTGGGGGAATGGTTCAAATCCATTCAATTTTTCAAGACTAAAAAAAACAAATTAAGTGTTAACAAAGCCCATCTCTCCACTGCAGAAACGCATCCTTTCTTTCTTCACTCTTTGTCTAAAAATTCAGAATGCTATTCAAAAAATCACATAGTCCAAGAAAAGTGGAGAAAACTTGTGTAAGTGATATTTGGCACAATAATCGGAACTGCTATTACTCTCACTGTTTCAAGAACTCAGTCTGAAATTTTTTCGTCCTCATACTTTTCTTTTGTGTCTCAGACTCTCAAGCATTCATCTTCCTCTTCTCTCCACTGCATAAGAAATTGCACATCAGATGAGTTGAGAAAGATCATGGTTTTATATTTAGTTTCTCTTTTTTCCCCCTTCTTTGACGTCTTTATCATATATTCTTATTATCTCTTTTCCCTTTTTTCCTTCCTTCTCCTTCCTTCCTTTTCTTATAGCCTGGACGTTTGGTTGTCGATTTTTCTTTTTATTTTTTTAATCATAGCAAACTGTGAACCGTTTAATTCAGGTTGGCCAGTTTTTGCTAGTTTATTCCTGAATTTATTGAGCTAGAATGGGTTAGTTAAGTACCAATTTACTTTTTTGACCAAACTAGCCAAAGGATCGGTTTGCTGGTTTACTGGTCCGATTCAAGTTTTAATACCATGCTTTTAATCATAATGGGGGGTTTGATCCTAGAACCTCTTCCCTAAGTACATTTTTAGATATTTCTCAATATCTTAGCTATTTATGGAACATGAGAAGTAGATGAGTAATCACTAGCTCTCAACAAAATTTGAAGAATTTTTTATAAATCTTACAAGATTCATTTTTCCTTTTTCCTCTAAAAGATGGCAAGAACTTTATCCACGTTCAAATTCTACTATAAGGTCTATTAGAAATCATAAATTGTTAAAGAAAATACTTATTTCTTTTGTTCTTTCTAGGTGATCAAAAAATAAAGGAATAGTTAATATATTTAAGATGATTATGTATTTACAAAATATTGTCTCAATTTCATCATATCCTAGATGTGATAAGGCTCTAAAGGATGAACTGGACAGTTTCAATAAAATTTTATTCTCAAACAAAAGTTCATTTTTTGATTCATTTCATATATTCCATGACTAAAAAGAAGGATACACTTTGAATTAGAAGAGAACTATCAAGAAATGACATTTTACAAGAGGGAGTACCATAAGGATGTGAAGGGTGTCACTGTACTAAAGGGTTATTAGCAATAACTAAATAACTTAATTTTTTTTTTTTTTGCCCACACAAATAACTTAATTTCAACATAACTAGTGACTATAAGAAATAGAAAATAGGTGAGATCGAAGTGAACGACTAGCAAGGGGCGAGAGCGAGCAATTATTTAGTAGAGAAGTAATTTGAAAAATAAAATGATTTTTGCTTTATCCGTGAGAACTGATCAAAAGGTGTAAACAAAATAATAAAATAAAAATTGAAAAAAAAAAAACGTTTTTATACAGGACGATCGACCTGCCGGAATGGAGACTCAACAATTTGCTCCAATGCACAAGTTGTCGAATCCACCGTCAAAATTTAAGGTGTTCCTTTTTAAAAAAAAAAAAATCATTTCTTTTGCTTTTCTTACTCCCATGAGTCCCATCCACTATTTTAATTGATTTTTATTGTTTTGGGATGATTTAGACATTTAGGTTATGTTTGGGTTAGCTCCAAACTAAGATTGGGAGAACTGAAACCTCAGTTGGGAATATTAAAAGCTCACTTCAAGATAAAGATCATGTTTGGATTGAGAAAAAATTTCAATTGAAGTTAGGGTTTAAATAAGTTTTTTTTTTAAATTTATCAAAGCTCATTTTACTAGCTTTTGCATCAACATTCAATGTCGAAAGCATTTAATCCTTTTTAAATTTTTATTCTCTCTCTTCATTATCTCTCTTTCTACTTGAGCCTCTCAACTTTGCTTCACCTTCATTCTGCGTAGTCCTTCTTGCTTGCCCATAACCTTCCTCATTTGTGTTGCTGGAGTTCACTAAAGATCACAGGCTATGTCATCACAATCGGTCGAGCTCCACCATGTGGGTTGTTCACAGTGATCTCTAGCTAATCTCCAACTCTATAATCCCTTCTTTTTGTATCAAGTGTGTCCTTACTTTGAAGTGTAGTTCTCGACGATGAAGACAACAGAGAAGAGGAGGAGGAAGGAGAACCTGGTAGTTCCATGATCTTGCACTTCTACCTTGTGTCATCATCGCCACTTGTGAGTTTTACTTCAACTAGTTTTAGTTTAATTGGTGACAAGTTGTAACATCTCAATTTTTAATTCCATAATCCACTAAGCTTAATTAGGATAATTAAGTAAGTTAATGTGGTGTATGGTCAGAAGATAATAATAAGTGCTTTCAGTTGGATTTTCAGGTATAATTTAGGTCTAAAGTGAAATTGAGTTACTTGGAGACCAAAAAGTGGAGAAAAACAAGCTAAAAAGCCTCTGTGCCACTTGTCGTGGTGTGCCACGATGCACGAGGCCATAAAACAATAGTTGCCTTCTCTGTACCATATGTCGCGGCATGTGGGGACAAGCATTGTGGCGTATAGTGTGAATTCTATAGTAAAAATGAGACAGAAATAGAGAGAAAGAAAAGAGAAAACAAAAGAGACACACCAAGCTTTGCTAAAGCACGATATAGAGGAAGATTTGAGAAGGTTTAAAGCTTCAAATTATTTAAGGTAAGATTTCTAAACCCTTTTCCTCCTTTCCTCTTTTATTTTCTTAAGGATTTGAGTTAGGGTTTGAATGAGGATGATGAATTTTGGTCCATATGGGCTATGAGTTCAAACTTATTAATTTAAATAGAGTTAATAGGAGTTGTTTAAAATATTTAAATATAGTATTAATGATTTTAATGGTTGTTGGTTAATGAGCTCCATTAATGTTCAAAAATGGACATTAAATCAGTCGTTATTATGATTCTTGAGGTATTAATGGCAATGTGAGTATTCAATGAAGTTTTATAATATTAAAGATAGTTAATAAATCTAATGGGTAGGCCCAAATATAAGTAATGTAGGTATTGGGTAATCTAGAAAAGGGAAAATTAGAGTTGAATGTGTAAGATTGGCAATATTAATGAAAATTAACTTGGTAAATTATAGATTGAGCTCTTGGTCACTCATTTGGCTTGAAAATTCAAGCTTAGAAGCTATAATATTGAGGGGTAAATCTTTAACCTCTCAAAGGTTTAAGATAACTGGAGGAAACCTTACTTTAGGTAGTTATGTGTTAATTGTAATGTGGTGATGATTATATGTTTAACATGCAAACTTTGAATTGTGAATGTATACATTATGCAATAAAACTTTATATTTATCAAATCATTTTGTTATGTGTTAAACATGCTAAAAAAAATTCAAAATGAGTTTTAAGTTACAAAAAGGATATTTGAGATGAGTGGCATGTTTATAATGTATTGTAAATGAGTAATGAGTAATAGATTTTAAGAAGATGAGTAATAGTGATTGTAAAGGGTGTATGTATGTAATATAAGTGAAAATAAAAAATTGATGCTCACTTGGGTCACGCTCGATCATGAGCCTAATGTGTTGACTTTGATAATGAGTAAATAAAAATGTGAAAAAGAGTAAGTATTGTTTATGACATGATCAGTGGGTGAAAGTTTGCCTAGGGGTTGGGAGTAGAAAAAATCCATATGATATTTAGGCTACCCTCTGGTACACGGGAGTATAGCCTTGTCCTACAGTTTGTTGAGAAATTATCCCATAATTTGTTAAGGGACTAGAACCTAACTTTATCTACTAGTTCAATGAGGAGAATTGCTCAAGGTATGAGACACCCCAGAAATTCGAGAATGGGGGAAGCCGTGGTCCGAGAGTGAGTTATGTGATCTTTGGTTGGATCACACCTCATGATTAGTGAGTTTGGGTAGTCCAATTACACGGATGAAGTCCTATTCAGTGTCATAGCCTACAATTTCAATCTAAGAAAGTAAGGAGGGTATAAAGTTGGTTAATCATTGCTTATATAAACTCATGACATGTCACACATATTGAGTTATAGTAAGTCGTGCGAATAATTAGTCATGGTCGCATATCTGAGACTATTGTGACAATGTATCTAATATATGTGAGTTAAAGATGTTACTAAGTGAGAAATGATAAGTTATGAAGTATGTGAACATGTTTTATGTATTTAGTTTTATATGCATGTGCTTGGTTATAATTAATATATAACTACATAGGATAGATTTTTATCTTGATTATTGGGTGACTAGACTCGCTTCTTTTAATTAATATTTTTCAGGCTCTAAATCTGGTGTGAGAAAGAAAAGACTCAAGATGCTAAAAATTAACACATTCTTATTGTACGCCTCTAGTTTGGATTTATTTTTTGTAATAGTATATAATTATCAATTCTAGGTTACATGCTGTCATACTTGCACTATTTTATTGCTACAAATGTCTGATTTGTATTTTAGGCCTTGAGTATTAGTGTATGTTGAGATGTATATATTTATAGGGTTAAAATATTAGTACAAGTGTAAAAATAATGTTTTGGACATGTTACAATGATTTTAATGCAATGCAATATAATTTTGCCTCCCCACTGTTTTTGAAAAATAGAGTTGATGAGTGAATTTATGTTATACTTGTGTTTTAATATGAGAGATATGTTGTATTAATAGTCCTAGGTCCAATGGACATGATCCAAGTGTTAGAAAAGGTTTGTAGCACTTGTTGAGAATTTTGGACACTCTTTTTGTGTGAAAGTTGTGAAAAGTAATTAAAATATGTCTGAATGTCTAACTTCTTGGTGTAACTTATTTTGAAAGTGAAACCCATGCCACTAGCTAGTTCATGAAAGGAGCTTTCTGTAGATATATAAATCACATCATTCGGATGTTGGACGAAGAATCGAGACATGTCAAAATTTTCTCGATTCTACTATCAAATGATAGCAGAATTGATAATATTTTTGTGCAACACGTTGCACCACATGGCACTTGAGCTACAACGCATGGCATAAAAAGCAACACATTACGACTCTACATACACGAGTCATGGTACATTGCCCTGTTTCACAATAAAAGAGTTATTTTTCACTTGTTTTTGGTTTCTTTTACTCTTCTGATGTATCCCGTGCTTCTATAACTTATCTTTCCAATATAAGAGATGTTGATTGTTTTAAACTCATTATAATTATGAAAATTTGGGATCCCTTAATTTTAAACTAAACTTAGTAATCATTCTTTAAGTTAATCATTTGATTACTATAAATTTATTAGTTAATTGTATTTAGTAGATTGAGATATTGCAACAAGAGAGTTACTTTAGTGATGAGGCCTAACGAGAAGTTGCTGGCAGCCTTTTCGATGATCTCCTCCGTGGAGATTTGTACATGTCGACAAAAAGACTTGGTGGAAGAGTGGTTAAAGTGGGGCGGCGACAAAGTCACCAACAACTTTTAAATATTGACAAAATATTTTTAAATCTTGACATATCAAGATTATTTTTTTCAAGATAATAATGATTATGCAAATAATAATCATTTAAAATTAATATTATTAGAGTTAAAGGATTAAAAAATACTTTACAAAAATAAAGGATTAGATTGAAACCTTATATAAAATTAAAGAACTAAAAGTATATTTTAACTTATTTTTTATGAACAAAAGCATGAGAGAGGTTGAGGAAGAATCTCTAATTAATTAACCTGTTTAATATATATTAATTTATTTTATACTTCTTAACTCTATTTTTTAAATAAAATTATAATTTTAAAGTTTAATTTTTTTAAACAGAATGTTGGTTAATCACAAAGTTTAATAATTTTTTATAAATTGACTTTTTAAATCAAATTATTTAAATAAATTTTAAATTATTTAATTGACTCTAAAAAAAATCCAAACATAAATTACATTAATGATAATATTTTTCCAAACCTCAATTTCTTAATCTCAATTGACTCCTATCCTCAATGGCATTTTTTTTAATCCAAACGCACAGACTGTGGGTGCCGGAAGAAAATTTTATACCGAGACGGCGAGAACTCAGCAGGAAACGCACACTTAGCTGAAGAGGTGGGCTCGTGAGTCGACGTATCTCTGCGCGATGGCCGTGCAGTGGGTATTGTTATGCCATGGGTTGGTGACTCTGCTCGTAGTCGTCTCCTTCCTCTGCGGTCAATGGCCCATCTTTCAGGGCACCTTCATCGAGCGCATTCACTTCTTCCTTACTTACGGCGCTTACGATTACTTCCTGTACCCTCTTCTTTTGCCATTCCTTTCTCCTCTTTCTCGTCCCCCTCTTTATATTTTTTTTTTTTTTGCCACACCTCTTCTTATGTCATATATTCTTCAATTGAATTGAAACATCCTTACAGGCGTTTCGTTGGTGCCATTTTTGGTTCGAAGTGCTCCGATGCTGTTCTTTCTGTCGAATATTACTGCTGCGATAGACCCAACCCGATCTTGCAGGTTGGTCAACCAATTTTCACCTTAGCGTGTCCGCATAATTTAGTATGACCTGAAGTTCGAAACGATTGGCTTCTTCTTCTTGCTTGAAGTGTTATTATTATTGTGGCTCACGGTTTGGCTACTTACGGTTGAGTCGGGGGTTATAATTTACAATGATTTTGTTCAAATATTTGGTGGGTATTATGGTTGGAGGAACTTTGGATATTTCCGGATAGACGAGATTTTTTTTCTTAATCCGATTCTTCACAGTTTTACTCAACGAGTTCATTGGTTTAGCTGTTCCGTGTCTTAGCAATGTCTTGGCAACAAACCCTTCCTTCTTTTCTGCTAGGCAGTTTTATAGACAGAGAGGATTATCTCCTCTGGTGTGTGTCCAGAGGACCTCGAGAAACTGAAGAATCGTGACCAAATTTTATTCAGATATGTGTAAATTTGTTTTCTATGAATTGCTTTGAAGATCCGAGTTTGATTTTGTTGATCATCAGAGCAAATTTCTGTTGCAGATTTTATATTTTGGGATAATCGGCATAGCATATTATTTTATTGTAAAAGCATCCTTTGCCTATATTCCTGGCTACTATTTAAGTGGAATCCACAGGTATTTCATCACAGAGCCAATAATTTTATTCTTTTAACTCCATGGTTATCTCAGCATCATTCATTCTATCATGAACTTTGTTAGACATTACATGTGTTTTTAGGTACACGAGCTTGTTGGCTGTCGCTGTTGGAATTCTGCTCTTTCTTTTGACCAGCTTTTCTGATCCAGGAACAATCAATTCTGCCAATGTTTCTCAATATCTCTCTGCATACCCCTATGATAATATCATTTATGCTGAGAAAGAATGTTTAACCTGCAAAATTCAGAAGTGAGTTTTTTTTTTTTTGGGCTGGTCTCTGATTAAGTTTTTATATAAAATGATCTTAATCTTTGATATAGACCTGCTAGGTCCAAGCACTGCAGCATATGTGACCGCTGTGTGGCACGCTTTGACCATCATTGTGGATGGATGGTTGGTGTTGAAATTCTCCCACTTTGAGCTTGTTGATGCGTCTCATCATTAAACAGCCTCTATTGTGTTTGGATTGTACTAAACGTCGTTTTGCTTGCAGAATAATTGCATAGGGGAGAGAAACACCCGGTATTTTATGGCTTTTCTTTTATGGTAAGTTCTGTGTTTGGTTCATTAGAGCATCAGTATGTTATACTAAGCATTATGTATTCTTACATTATTTTTACACCAACACGTTTGCTGCCCAACCTGCCCAAGTGCATATCTATCTGCTGAACACTGGCTTGCTATGGGGCTAGACTAGAAGATGACCTAATATCCCACTGGGTAGATAACTCTCTCAGTTCACTAAAATCACAATTCTTGAATTAATATTCGTAATAGAAAATATTAGTTGCATTTCTTTTTATGCACAGAATCCCTTGTAACTGCATGACTAAAATGATCGCCAACTGTTGAATAAGGTTCGCTGAAATTTCAGGAGTTCTCTGGTAGAACTTTTACATCCTGAAACATACTCTAGTTGCAACCTAAAAATTATTTTAACTTTTCTGTTCTAAGTTCAGAGTAGAGCACAAATATTATTTTAGTTTTTCTGCACCAACTTAATGAACAACTGTCTTCTATACTTCTTCCAATGTTCAACACATTTTAACCATGCACAATTTGATATATGAATTTTGTCTATTCTCTCCATCATTGCGATGCATATATTAGCTGACTTTGCCTTGGCACTCTGATCAACCCAAGGCTGTTATACTAGTTTGGGAGCTGTCCAAAAGAGTAGAAAGGAAAAATAACATTGTAGTTACTTCACATTGGTCATGAGGTTTATGTGTGAGAGAATGGCCATCAGTGGGGTACATATTGGGAAGTGGGGCTTTAGTGAGGGTCCTAGGGGTTAAGGAAATATTGAGTGTTGTGGGAGAGACTCTAGCCTCTCAAAAGCCAGAGGAAAAGCTGCTTAGACCTGTACTCTGGCAGATTATTGTTAATTTGAATACCATTTGGAACTTTTAGTTCCATCGATCTGTAATCTGGCTCAGGCTTTTATGCTACCTAAGTTACACAAGTGACTTAAAAGGTTCCTTGATGCTTCCTGCCATTTTGCTGCTTCTATTAGTTACTTTGCTGACTTCAGCATATCTGGTAGAATTTATGCATTTTTCATCTTTGGTTCCATTTATATTATACGATTCTTTAGTGTCTTGTAGGCATTTCCTTCTATGCTTGTACGGAGTGGTTGCTATTGGACTGGTTCTAGCTGGAAGAGTAAAAGAACTGAGAGTTGTGTATATTCTAACAGGTGAAGCTGGTTTGAATGCAAGATCAATCGCAAGAATAAGTTGGCTCTTGTATTAATATTGGGATTTCGTTCTCATTTATTTTGCAGTTTACTATGGAATAGAAAATTCTTTTCTGGGTTTAGCTCCGCACGTTGTACAGGTGAGGGATTTGTTTTTATGACTTGTTCTTTCTAAATGTTGACACTCTGACTCTTATGTGGCAAATTATATGCTTTTGTTCCTATTTTATTTCTAACTTTCTATTTTAATGTCGAATGGGAATGGTCATTTGCTATCATACAGTGGTGGTTAGGATCACACCACACGCTGGTCCTTCTTGTAGTGTTCCTTGCAATTGTTGGAATGCTATTGGCTGGATTTTTTGGTTACCATGCAAAGCTCTGCCTCAGCAATACTACCACTAATGAGGTTCTCTCTACCTCTAATCTCCCAATGTCTATCAATATCCATTAATAATTATTTTTCTCTCGATTAATACTCAATAGCCAGGAGAAGGAAGACGCAAGAGACTATCTTTCTTCATGTGAAAAGATATCCTTATGAAAGAAAGGATTGGATCACCTTCATAAGATGAGCTTAAGAGTTAAGATGCATAGATGCTATTTATTCAGTTAGGCTGCTGGAACAAATTTGCACTGTCATAAAAAATGCCTGACTCTGTTTTATTCGACATGATGGGATTCGCGTCAGCCTTTGGGGTTGTGTGTCTTGTAGAATTAATCTAATTGGGTAGGACTAAAGCTTGAAGCTTCTAGAAATTGTGTAACAACATACTTTTGGGAAGTTCACTGGTTTCATGCAATCTTTGTGATGGGACGAGAATTTAGCACCAGTAATATCTTGGTGAATGTGGCGTTGGTAGTCTTGTCTGTTTTCGGTTGTTCATTGATTGTTCTGTTGTTCACCACCTGTTTGTGTTTGCTTTTGCTTCTTTGCCTTAAATTTACATTTAAGATCATATTATTGAGTGGTATTTGATGCTTAATCCAAATCTGATACGAGGCTTTTATGCTCTGACCCTCTGATTTAAGTGTTGGCTATTGATTGGTGTTTGATATTTAATCCTTGCATTTACAAACCTGCATGTGGTTTCATCTGAGTTTTATTCGAAAAGAATTCAAGTGGAGTTGCATATACTGTTTGTGAAGGTTTTGAGAATTCAAGTGTGCGCAAATATTCCACAATATTTTATCATCAAACAAATGTCTGGGCGGCGATCTGTTTTGTCTGGAAAACCTCATGCATTTATATGCGCTACTTATTTTATGAAAGCTCAAATGAAATCATTCGTTTCTTTTGTGGATCACAGACCTTCAAGTGGCAAGAGTACACGAGCTGGCAGAGGAAGCTAAATGAAGCAAAGGCCAGTGCTGCAGCCCTAAGAGCCAGTAGTGGGATGAGCAGCGACAGAAAGCCCTTTCTGAGCAAATGGAAAGCCTTCTTCCGAAGGTTGCCATTAGAGGATGTGGAAATTGTCCACAATAATGTCTACGATAGAGGATTCATTCACAATGTTCTGGAGGTTGTCTACCCGCTTTCTTCAAGGCGGTCATTTGCACGAACCAAATTGAAGCCAACCTGAGAATGCTGCTGAAGTACTTGTCTTTCTGGGCAGAAAAGTTTTGGAATTCTGGAGATGTGTAGGAGTGCGTAAATAGTTGCAGCATGAGAAGCAAAAGGACAAGAGAGAACGAGTACAGGGATCCTAATGCAACTTGTGAAAGAAATAAGGTAGAGATCTATATTTGGTTGCTTATACATTAGATGTTGTGTGACTTCCGGATATGTGCACGAGTACGATTTTCTAGTTGAGCATGATTAAGTGGGTCCTTCGAATAATTTTTATGCCTTTTAGTAAAAAAAAAAAATAAAATCCTAATACCATCATCAAATTACCAAGTATATACAACACTATATATATATGTATGTATGTATGTATGTATGTATGTATGAGATAACTTATGAAGCGCCAGTATTGATTCAGCCGCAAAGAAACTTGTCTCAACGATTTAAAAGGAGTTAACATAGCCACTTGAGGCTAGGTTAATGAGTACGGGTAGTAATTTGGGTTTAAACTTATCCAGATATGATGCCATCAAAAGGGTATCAACATAAACATCGGTCATTAGTACATTTTACTTTTGCTCTGAATTATAATGTAAGATAAGCGAGTGATTATATTTTTTTTTTAATTTTGAAATACTATTGTAACCGAGCTTATCAGTAAGATAGATACAAAATACGAATGTTTTTGGTTTTTTGGGCCTTGCTGGGAAATGTATGGGAAATGCAAGTATTTTTTAACTTGATTATCATGATAGTTGAATTTAATTTTTTGATAAATTTTATACAATTGGGGATGTTTTAAAGAATAAATCCTATCCTATTATTAACTATTTAATAAATAGTACATCTTGTTATGAATTCTGTAAATAGTATATCTAGTTGAGATAGTGATATATTGATTCTTTAATTTGTGTTGCATTTATTTTTAATAATTGTGGGTTTGGATTTAGTAAGTGATTTTAGTCCATTCATTCAATAAGTATTTCAAAATAACTATTAAATTTTAAATTTTATCAATGCTTGAAAATTATTAAAATATATTTTTTTAAAAAATTTAAAACAATCATTACGATCAAACCACTCTTTTCATCTGTTGTCAAGCCAAAAGTTTTAGATTTGACATATGACAAAATCTTTTATAATCATTTGATTAAATTAAATGATTATTGTAATGACACAAAAGACACTAATTGAGTGAGTGAATGGACTTAGATCTAAATTCACTCACTCCAGTCTACAATCATCCATGACAATTTCAAAACACAAACAATTAAATAGAAAAATCTGGCGCAGGACCAAGCAGTTAAATAAAAAACTTAAATTAGTTGATAATTGGTTTGGTTTGAGTTATTGGCCAAATTTTCCAAATGAGGGTATTAGAGTCATTTTGTTTTTTTTTATAACTTAGTCCTCCAAAATAAATAGTAGCATCATAGTTTGGAAAGTCAGACAAACCCGTCGGTTGGACCAATGAATTGGCTACGTATCCACTCTGGTTTGTTGTCTAAAACAATGGAAGATCAACCTGGGTTAAACACAAAAAACTTATACTAACCCGTTCAATTGCAGAAGTCGAGGTGAGTTAAACGGGTTACTCTCCTATTTAAAAATATAAAATATTTTTAATTAAATTTTATTTTTTAATAAAATAATTATTTATTTTTCAACTAATCGTATCTTTTCATATTTACCTCTATTAAACACCCTATAATAAATATAAAGTTATTATTAATATGGGTATTTAAAAAAAATAATGATTACACCTCAAAAGACTAAAAATACCTTACATTTTTAATATTTAATTCCTCAAAAAAATTTTATATTTTTGAATGGAAGGAGTATTTATTTACTTTTTTTTTGCTTTCAAAAGCCCTTAAATGACCCATTTTCAAAAACTCTTTTTTCCCCCATGAAATTGATAAGAAAAAAGCACGAGCCAATAATTTATATATGCAATAGAAATAAATTCTCATTCACTTGCTAGAATTTTAGAGAAGAAAATATGACAAATATATGGCAGAAAATAAATAGCACAAATTTGATCAGAGATATTAGAAATTATTAACATGAAAAACCCCTCACGCACTGCAAGGGTGAAAACCAAGGGTCATCCAAACCAATAAAGAACAACTTCACTATAATCAAAATAGGATATAAGAGAGTCTCAAAACACCAAATCAATAGGCTTATAAAAGAAAATGAAGGAAATAAAAAAACACCAAATTAGAGATTGTAGTGCAAACAAAATATCTCTCACACCAAACAACAAATCAATAATCCCACGATTGAAGATTATGCATTGGATGTTGCATTACCAAATTTCAGCTCGATGCAATGATAAAATAATTCACAAAACTTAATTTATCGAGACGGCTGTGTGAATATGAAAATGACTCTCTCTCTCTCTCTCTCTCTCTCTCTCTCTCTCTCCCTCCCTCTCCCTCCTCCCTCCCTCCCTCTCTTTCTCGGCTACACATCAAAATTGAATATGATCCCTCTCACATTACCTCCTTTCCACTTTGTTAGTGAAAGGTTTTAATATTGAGCCTTTTTCCATATAAAAAGGGAGCTCAAACCTAATAGAAATTTCATAATTTTTTAAATTTTTATTTATGTGTGTTTATAATATTATTTCTGTCAACTTATATATTTAAAATTTAAAAAAATATTATATAATTAAGTTTATATAAATCACTCTTAAACTTATAAGATATATGTATAAGTTTATCTATATTTGATATTAATTTTGTCAGCTTAGATATTTTAATTATCATTTAAAAATTTAAAGGACTCGTGAACAATATTTATGTTAAAGAAGGGTATTAGTAAAAAAATGTGTGATTTAATGGTTAATTAATAACTGGATGAATAAAAAATAAATATTAAAAATAGAGAGAATTTATACATTAGGTAAATTTTGATATCAAGGGAGGATGATATAAGTTTTAAAAAAGGAAAGATTGCACTTAGAGCCTTTAGAGGAAAAAAAATTATACTTAAGACTCAATGCATTTTGAAACTATTCTTCAACATGAGGGTTCACTTTGCAAATATGTGTCAAGAAAAAAAAAATACAATTACCTTAAGTGAAAAGAGAGAGAGGGGGAGAATATTAGATTCACTATTAATAAATTATTACATGTTAATATGTGAATTTAAAGTTGTGAGTTTGTAAAAATGTAATTATAAAAATTTAAACTTATTGTTACAATGAACTTTTAATTCTGAATATATGAAATCATAAATTTTGAACTTTAACTTTATGAATATTTGCAAATATTTAAATTTTAAGTTATAAGTTAATGAATCAGGTCAAGACAAACTTGCTAATTGTTAACTTTAACTAAAAATTTTATTATCAATAGACAATTATTTATTAATATATGCCTAAAGTTATTAATTTATGAACTTACAGTTGTAAAAATATGAAATTATCATCATAGTAAATCTTAATTTAAATGAACTTGTATTTATAAATATTCTAATTTTAAATTGCAAATTTATGAATCTGTCAATATAAACTTTCTAACTTTGCACAAGAAGTTCACTATCAATAAAAAATTATTTGTTAATATTTGATGCCAAAATAATGAATATGTGAATATTTTATTGAACTTTAATTTACTATCTTTTCTTACTAAGAGAAATTATGTCTTTTTTTTAAATATATTTGCAAAAAAGATATCTAAACTTGTAGAATAATTTTAAAATTTATTAGGCTGCAAGTGTAATTTTTTTCTCCCAATGCAATTTTTCCTTTTAAAAATAGAAGGAAAGAGGTGGAATTAAGATAAAATATAGGGACGGTTGATGTATTTCATTAAAAAAATCAGAGAGCCGGTTTTGCCCCCAAAACAGTGCGTTACCTGCGTTAATCAGAATCCGTGTGCCGCCCTACGCCCTATACTACTCGCCGTGGCGGTGTTGCCTGATCGAAGTCGTCGAACTCGTCTCTGCTGCCCGAGGCCGTGCGGCGCGTCGTGAGGTCGCCGGAATCATCTCCTCGTCCAACTCGTGTCCGCTCCGCTTCACCTCTCCTCAATTCCTCCTTTCTCGTGTCTTCAGAGTTTAGATTCTTCTCACTGTATGGCTTGATCTATCTTCTCGTGGCTTCAGTTCCTCCTTCCTCGTGTCGTGAACTCTTCTCTTCTGGTTTGATCTATCTATTTCTCCCTCCTACTCACTCTCCATGTTCAGTTCGATTTTAAACTTTTACTTATGCCGAATTATTTGTGCTGATTTTAAATTCTAAATTTGTTCTCCGTAAATAACTGCAGGGTTCCTTTGCTGAATGATTCTTGTCATGTTATTAGAAGTGAATATTTCTCTTCCATTATTTACGACTGTTTTGTTTCTTTTCGATTTTGGGTTCGATGACAACGATATGGTCTTTCTGTTCGTGGTCCTCGTGTATGCTTATTATAATTCAAATGTTAGAAAATTGAATTCATCGATAATGTAGTAAGATAGGGGTTTGTTGTTATTGGTGTGATACTGTAATCAGAATTTTTTATATTATTTTTTTAGATGTGAGAATTCCATTTTTTTTAATCAATGCTGTAATCAGAAAATGCAGTCAGATAGAAATGGTTTGTTATTTTCTCAAAGAGAAAATTATTCGCTGATTTTGTAGAATGAATTATTTGTGCTGATTGCTGAATTATTTGTGTTGAGTTATTCTTTCTTCATTGTAAGATTGTTTGTTTATTACTTTATCCGTGTTGAAATTATTGCAGCTCATAATCTGGAGATTTGAATGAAGTTAATGATGACTTTGGTGCTCATGATTGTTAATTTTAGACTTTTAATGATTGAAGGATTGTAAGGATGAATGTTTTGAATGTTGTTTTATTTTATTATTGTTAGACTTGTTGTATCTTGGAGTTTTGGATATGGATGAATTTTTTGAAGATTAATGTTTTTTTATTTAAATTATATTATTTTAATCATGACTGGCTTGACAATGTTTTGATCCTGGTTGGATCATTAGGACTAGTGCCCCAATTGGTTCAAGGACCAATTCAGTTTTCTGTACCTAAAGTAGTATTTTTGAAGGACTCTGGACTAAATAACTCTCTGTGGTCCTTCACATTAATTTTCCCTAATTTCCCCCAATTTGCCCCCTCCCATTAGATTGATCCATCATGACCTTCTCGTCCTCTATCGTAGGCTTTGTCATTCATTGGTGCTGCTGTTGCAGACGCTCATTGCTGTCCCTTGGCATTATGTTTGGTTGCCCTTTCATTGGCTTTGTGGACCATTGCTAGTGTCTCGTCGATTCCATCCACTATAGGTAGCCCCTTAGCTTCCAATTCACTATTCAATACCACCTCTTAGATTCATTAATAGTTTTATGTCATGCCTTTTTTATGGCAAAGATAGTTTAATATGATGTTTAAATAATCATCAATAACACACACACACACACACACAAATATAGGTGTTTTGAAAGTGTAACTAGTTGACAAAAAAAGAAAGTATAACTAGAGTTTTTCTGTGTTTCTTCAGTTTTGTTGAAGGTACGCAGGCATAAAGCATGATCTACACTGCAATTGACACATTCTACCTCACCGATGAGCAGCTAAAGAATTCACCTTCTCGGAAAGATGGCATAGATGAAGCCACTGAAACCACCCTTAGAATCTATGGTTGTGATCTCATCCAAGAAAGTGGCATTTTGCTTCGGTTGTATCCTTTTTTTTGGTATTCAATCTTCTTCAAAATGATGTCTGTATGTCTTTCTAATCTTATATACATTTAGTTTAGAATTTAAATTGTTTCCTTAATTCTCTGGCAGACCACAAGCTGTCATGGCCACTGGGCAGGTTCTATTTCATCGTTTTTACTGCAAGAAGTCATTTGCGCGGTTCAATGTGAAGGTCATTATCATATAAAAATATATACGCTATTTCCCCATCGTTTCTCTTTTTGATTTTAAACTACTATTGAAATTGAAAATAGTTGAAACGGGTCCTTTTGTTTTTTTGTCTCTGCATGTTCAAGTTTTGATACTCGGAGCTTAGTAGTTGATTTAAAGCTATCATAAGTTCATAACTGGTTTTCTCCAGTATTTTAATCCAGTGCTTGGACTATTTTTAATCAACCCCCACCTTACTGTGTTAAGGTGGTGGATGATGAGAGGAAGTCCTCTCTTAATTCTGCTTTGATGTAATACTGCTTTGTTTGGGATTCTCTGCTTCATTTCTATTCAAAAAAAAAAACAATTCTTTAAATCTTTTAGACCCTCTGTGTACTAATGTTCTAATAATGTCTTCGTCATTGATGAGATCTGATAGGCTCTTTTTTCAGAAAGTTGCTGCAAGCTGTGTATGGCTTGCTTCAAAACTGGAAGAAAGTCCAAGAAAAGCAAGACAAGTAATTATTGTTTTTCACAGAATGGAATGTAGGAGGGAGAAATTACCTATGGAGCATTTAGACTTGAGTTCCAAGGTTAGAAGCTTTTCTTCTGTTACTGTTTATATGTGTTTTTCTTGCATTATGTAATTAATAAATGATGATTTATTCGAAAATTGTTCTTTTCCATGAACAGAAATATGTAGACTTGAAGATGGAGTTGAGTAGAACAGAGAGACATATTTTGAAAGAAATGGGATTTATTTGTCATGTTGAACATCCTCATAAATTTATATCAAATTACCTTGCAACTCTTGAAACTCCTGAAGAATTGAGGCAAGAAGCTTGGAATCTGGCTAATGACAGGTAAGCAACTACATGTATTACTATTATTGTTCATCTTATTATAAACTCTCTCACTCACCCATTGACCTTTGTAATCTATCACCCTTGAGTATCCTCTTGACAAATGCTCCAACAGAAAAACTTAAAACGGTTAATCAAAGAGCCATGAGTAGTTCTATTATAATCTCAAAGAATCATGAATGGAAAGGATATAAAGAAAGTGAGGTCGAGAAAATGCCTTTAGGCTCTGATAACGTGAAGGAGTTTGCTGATAAAATGATGTCATATACTGATCCTCGCTAGCATATAGGCGTCTAATATTTATACAAGCTTTCAACTACTATTCTGTTGCAGATTGATTATTGTGACTAACATAACGGCACAACAACTCTAAGTAACCCTAGTTGCTCTTACAAGGTGTTTTCGACTGTATCATCCTGTCGTCTGAGCATGTGGCTTTGACTGGTGGGCTTATTAAAACGTCAATGCTTCTAACAAGAACTTTGAATATTGTATCGTGCTAATTACTGTTTGATTGGTTCTAATTTGTAATTTCCACTATTGTTATACCAGAATAAGCCAGTTTGAATTTTCCATTGTAACGTTGAAATTTTGCACCACCAAAATTTACAGCTATATAGTAGGAGCTGCTAATGGTATTTATTCTGCACCACCAATGCGTGTTGAAACCTCTAAGCTTCCCCTGCTTGGGGGGAAAATAAATATGTATTTTGTTACTCATTTTTAGTGTAAAACTAGTCATGACATTGACATTTAATGCACCAGGGTACAGATGTTATCTTTTAGTCTCTTTTTTCTTCTTCTTCTCCTTGGGATATGTGATGTGAACTATTTCCTATTCGTGTTTAATGTTTTCTTAACTTTTTATGATGCAGCTTGCGCACAACATTGTGTGTTCGATTTAAGAGTGAGGTTGTGGCTTGTGGAGTTGTATATGCAGCTGCTCGCAGATTCCAAGTACCCCTTCCTGAGAACCCTCCATGGTGGAAGGCATTTGATGCCGAGAAATCTGGGATTGACGAAGTCTGTAGGGTTCTAGCTCACCTGTATAGCCTTCCAAAGGCTCAATACATAGCAGTCTGCAAGGATGGTGACTCATTTACATTCTCCAATAAATCAGCAGAATCACAATCTCAGGCCGTACCAAAGGTAAAGTTCACTTTTTCTTTCATTGACTCAGCTCTATTACACTTCACAATTTGTTTTTTCATGGTGCAAGCCTGCAAGAACAGCATTAGTTGGCTGTGATGAGACAAAAGTATAAAACAAGGTTGTTGGAAACGTCTTGCCTTTTTGCAACATGAAGTTTCTTGTCTAACGTATTTCAAGCTTAATTGTAGGACGTTCCGCAGAGTAGCCCACCAGCAGACACTAACATCTCTATTTCAAAGGGAGCTCCGGCGGAATCTAACAGTGAAGCTGGCAATAGCAAGGGTACATTGGTGAAACAAGCCATTGATAAGATGATAGAGTCTAAGATTGATAATGATTCAAAGAGCATGGCTACAGAGGTAGAGGCAAGAGATGAGCCCATGCTAAAATCCAAATCTGATCGTAAAGTAGAGACCAGTGGGGAGACACGGAGGGAAAGGGAAAGAGACAGAGATAGGGAAAGGGACAGGGACAGAACAAAAGCCCGTGATCGTGACCGGGGAAGGGATTCTGACAGAGAAAGAGATCGAGAGGAAGCAGATAGGGATAAACTCAAGGATCGAGGTCACCGTACCAGAGATAGAACAAAGGATTCAGGTATGCTTTCATTTTTAAGCTCAAATTCCATTTTGATCCCATATGGATGGAGGATTTTTTCAATTTGTTGATTAGTTTTAAATTTAGTTTCTCAAATAAAATCTCTAGCTGTACGATTCAGTCGTCAATGTACTGTTAGTAAGACTACCAATTAATTACATGTTATGTGGTAGTGGGTGGTAGCTTGCCAAAAATATGTTGTGATAGGACCCTTTACTCTAACAAGCTTAAAGCAACAGAAAATACTGTACAAATGGGACTGAAAATACTCTTGCTAAATAATAAATTGGATTACAAGGAAAATAATGATTTAAGCTAACCCCGACTCCCCTATACACCCAAGCACTGAAAATACAACCAAAAAATGTTAAAAAATACACTGAACAGAAGTACAAGACATAAGCCGCTGGACTTTTGAGAGGCCAGTAAGCACTCTCCCAAACACGCTTCATTCCTCCAAAAGATTCAAATCACCTCCCTTTGGCAGAATTGGAGGATTCAAAGACCGAAAAGCTATGAGTCTACCCTCTAGCTGCACCTAAGTTCTACTCACATGCCACTTCTTTTTCCCCACAACCAAGAGTCTTTGGATAATTCTTTTGTCCACGAGAGTTGCTCTTTCCTGCACCATTTCCCTTCCCATAAATCATGCTATAGGCCCTATAAATTGATTGGTCAATCTTTTCTAAATCTTTAACTCTATCATGTTGCATGCTGCATTTCCTCAATTAACATAAGATTTAGTAGAGGACGTTATCAGAGTTTTATTTTGGGATGCCAGGGGACCAAATTGAGAAATATTTCGTTTGTGAATGACTTGAGTAATTCTAAACTGTTCTCTCTTTCTCTTGGGTGGTAATCTCTCGTGGATTTTGTTTTTCCCCGTGCAGGACATTCTGAGAAATCAAAGTATCACTCATCACGTGGTATGAAACTGCTCCTAAGTTTGACCTGCCTCTTCGGTATACGTATCCGTTTGCTAACAAATTTTAATTTCAGATCGTGAGAACTATGGCAACTCGTATTCGTCAAGGGAGAAGGATCGACACAGACATCATTGATCTATACTGGAGAGTTATTAAGAATGATTGCCAGTTATCTGGTTTCAGATATCCGGCCGTAATCTATACTTCTAATGCTTCCCAAAACGAACTGTCGACCGCTACGGGTTTCGCTGAATGGCGTTTGTCATGGAGATTATCTTCCCATTTCCGGGCGTTTTATGTTATTTTCATGTAGAATGCGGGAGTTCGTATTAGCATCTGAAAATTTTAAAATATACTCCACCGAAAGCAATCATAGTCAAATATCCAATTACAAATTGATCGGGTTAATCTCCAGTATTCGGGGACTCGAGACAATGAAATAATCACACAGAAGCCATAATGCATTGACACGATTTGGACGCCAAGCTAGACAAAAGTTCTGACAAGGTATCTCAAGCAGAGGGATGGGGAAGTATGCGCCTAACGTCGAATCCAACGATACACTCCCTCAAAGTACTTTAAAAGCATTTTTAATTAAATTTTATTTTTAATAAAATAATTACTTATCATCAAATTAATTTTATTTTTTATATTTATATTTATTTAATAAGATATTTTATCATAAAATAAAATAATTTATTTAATAAAAATATTTTTTTAAAAATAATAATTATATTTTAAAAAATTAAAAATGTCTTGCATTTAACATTTTAAAAAATGTTTTATATTTTTGAGCAAAATGAGTAAAAAGTTAGAAAATAAAGGGATAATAAAATTTTTAATACTTTGTTTTGATGATTGATTTAATATTTTAAATTTAATTTTTATTAATCATTTTTATAAATTATTAGTGAACTTTTTCATGATTAAACATGCATATATGTAATTAAGTAAAAATAAATTAATTTAATTTTTATTAATATAATTTATTATAATGTGCTATATTATCTATTTTTATAAAAATTCAAAGTATTTTTCTTAACTAATTGCAATTGTTTTATTATTGCCATCAACAATATATTATTATTAGCCATATCAATAAATGTTAACAACGTAACATCTTTTTAAAATAACAAGGATCAAATTAATTATAGGGTAAATTTAAAGAACTGAATCAATAAAAATTGAAAAACCAAATTGTTAACTTGGATAGACTTGAGGATTAAAAGTTTTATCATCCCAACAATAAATAAGATATCCACCTCACTGAGATCATCAAAAATATCGCTCACCACTTTTTTTCTCTTTTATTTCCCTTGGGCTAGTAGGGACTTGTGATCTCAACAACGTGAGTGCCGCCGATTCAATAAATCTCCTCAGTGATATCAACCTTCTAAAGACAAAATACAAACTTTCACGATTTACGTTAGACAACTTTAAAGAAGACAGGTTCAAACAAATAGGTGGTCAGAATATCCTGAGGATACACGTTACGAGGTCGGCACTCATTCCACACAATCGGAGTATTTGGCATCATAAGACTGCGACTCAACGTTCTTTCATATTATGAGACACAATTCATGAGGAATCAATATATCACCGCAAGCTTCATCAAAACCTGCATGTGAAAGAATGCGTCCCCAGTGGCTTCTTGGAAGCCCTTCCTATTCAACAAGTCGTCGATATTCTACAATCCAGAAAACTCCAGGATACCAAACCAAAGCATGTTTCGCAAGATGTAAATGCTTAAAGGCTGTGCAAATGAATAGCAACATAGCTATAAGCTGTTCAAGCTTTTATGCGGACCACAAATGAACCTGCTCAATGACACAAAATGATTATTAGAGCAGATCATGCAGATAATTGAAGTTTTCAGAAACAGATCTCATTAACTAAAATTAATGAAAGACGCCAAATTTCAAAAACCAGCTCAATCAAAGTAGTGACTCAAGCAGTCAAGTTTGAGGCCTATAGGATTTATAAAAATGGCGTAGTCAGGTGAAATACACCAGACAAATAAAACAAAGGCACGCATGAGCAAATTAACTAATCAAACTATCACCAAAAACAAAACAAATTAAACATAATAATCATCAAATACACTAGTTGAGACACTATCATCACAATCAAACATAATGACTATTTTACTTTATAAAAATGGTTAATAAAACAAAAAAAAAACAAAGGCATAATGACAGACTTTCTAACAAACGGTTTTGTTTATCCTACGCCCGTTTTATACCATTTGGGCCAGGCATCTAGATTGCCCTTCTGTTTAAGCCATCCAACTAGGTGTCTCAGGTGCCCGCCTTAATCGATGCTAAAAGCTCCAAAGGCACTCCTAGGCAAGCACTTGGCTAAAGCCAATGCTACTCATGATTCTTTAGCACCGCACCTAAGAGCCTTTAACCACATTGATCAAGGAACCTTAATGTTGGAAGCAAAACCAGCAAACTAAATGATGCTTCCGCAGATATTAAGATAAAAAGCAAGAGTAACTTATTGTCAATGGGAGTACAAAAAATCTTGTCTGAAACTGCATGGATATTAGAGAATTCTAGAAGTTCTGACATAGATTCTTTTATCATTTGTTCCATAATGAAAAGATCCATATCTCATGTAATTTCAGATGAAACTTTTCAACATGAATATCATCAAGCTGAATCTTAGTCACAGTAAAAGAATGCTTCATGCAGTAGCAAAAACACATATAGGAAAGCTTGAAAGGAATCTAAAACAAACAAACACAAAGACACAAGGCTCGATTCAACCATAAAAATAAAAAATCACCATATGATCAAAGGGCATAAATTGAACATCCCAGAGAAGACACAATCAAAATAGAGCTTCACTTAATAGACTCATTTTATCTCTCTCTCTCTCTCTCTCTCTCTCTCTCTCACACACACACACACTGTGGGAATGAAAAAGAAAATACTGAGGATATCCATACATGCTGGAAGATTAGATATATCTGCAGAAACTGCACAAGGGATTCCTAAGTTTGAAAGAGCTCCTCTAATGATCCCACACGGGAAATAAAGATGCATGCTCACTGCTTGTGCTGCCTTGTTTTCAGCTGGAATCACAGAATTATCTTCAATTGAACTTCCATCAACTGATGGATCAATTGACATGTGTGCAAGCCAGCGAAATTTATTATCTTGCAACACAAAGGTACCCTGAAGAAACACCACATGCTATTTCAGTTGCAGCCATTCATAACATATATATATATATATATATATCCTGTCGATTTTAGCTCTTTAACTCACCCTGTGGTTAGTTTTCAAGTTGTCAATCTGCTTCTTGAAGAGCTCAGACCAAAAATCCTTGCAGATGAATTTGATAGCCTCCAGATGATCACTGAACCGAGGCCGCTCCATGGTATACCTATAAACAATTTTCTAATTTAAATAAATTACAAGATAATTAATTAACCAACCAAATAGTTCATATCACAAGATGATTATTAAACTTGCTTTTCATATATGACATTTATCATTGCATCATCCTTTTATTTGTTTTATCTTTAGAGCCTTGATTTCCTTTTTCTTTTTACGGAAAAAGCTGTGTCACTGAGTAACCTTTAGTTTTGATGATACTTGTAATAACAGAAATTCCATGACAAGGGTTATAGAAAAGTCGGATCAGTGTATACAGTCTGTCAGTCAAGGTTTACCTCTAAAAAGATATTTAAAACCATATGTGTAGTTAAGGTATCCTAACTTTTTAAGAATCTAGCACGGTACAAATCAACTACAAGAGGCTTGCATCCAATTGAAATTATATACCAAATGCCCATGACACAAGAGACTAAATTCGATAAAAGTACTAGATCCATAAAACAGAAATGGACAGAACGATCACTGATCAAAAACCTAACACGACAGACACCAAAATTTTACTAAAAGTAATTTAATTCAACTAAGCTATAATTGCAACAGTTAGAAGAGCTGTGAGCCTTAATTAATACCAGAGTGCTGCAAATTTTCTCAGAAAAATTTCATCACAAAGGTTCATCTGAATGAACAATTAGATATGTATGAAACAAAAAGCAGTTACAGTATTAAGAAACAAAGTGTGCTCACAGTGAAGAAAGGAAGAGAAATGAGAAGATAATGAAAATAGGGTTGGACCTTTCAGAGAGCTGGTGACCGACTTGATATCCAATGGCCTCGATCCTGCGGGCGGCGAGCTCGGGTTTATTGGCGTAGAACCGATTGCAATAGGATGCCACCATCTCCGTCAGTAGACTATCTACGCAACTCTCTGACACTTCCCTTGCCATTTTCTCCCTTCTGATGTCTCTGATTATCTATCAATCCCACTGCTCCCACCTCTCCCGATCCAAATCCAAACTCACCTGCGCTGTGGTAATGGAAAACTTCTTCTTCCTTGGGTGAGAGAGAGAAACCTGCGTCTAGGCAAAGTTATCTCCCGACCAACTGGGCCTCTTCGGCCCAAAACTCTTACTGCAAAATAAATAATCACTTCAGTCTTACCTTTTTTTAAAAAAAGAAAAATTAATCCATCAATCCTTATAATTTCATTAAATTTTAAAAGAGGTTCCTCTAATGTATTTTCTTGTTATAAGATCCTTAAAGTTATTTTGATAATAAATATTACTCCTTCTCTCCAAATTTGTTGATGTTGTTTCAAACAGTACTAATTCATTGAATTGGTGAAATGACTGACATGTGGCTAAGAATCTTTTCTCTTTCTTCTTGATAGCATTCTAAATGCTAACATTAAATGAATTCTTTCATAACATCGCATTAGTCATCTTCTTCATCTAACCCATTCTTGCACAGAGAAGAAGCAGCAAAAGGTGGTATTATAATTGAGAACTTCCTTGATATGCAATGGAACACCACTTCCTAAATATCAAGAAGTTATCCTATATTATTGTCCCCTCTCAATTCATCAACCTCATTTCCTCTTCAATCTTTGATTGACTCTTCTAAGAAATCTTCAAAGAACACTAACATTGTCGTCATCTTCTTCATCAATGGCTTCCCTATTAGACACTCAAAATTACTCTATTTTTTCACTCTCTTCCTCCTTTCCTTTTTGGGCATTCTCAAGTTTGTCCCCTTTTTCCCTTACCCATATACCACAACATTGCCTAGTTTCTAATCTCTAGTAGGTATCATTTAAAATCCAAACTTGGCATTATTTTCTCAAATGAGCATGTTTCAAAATCTGAGCTTCAGGCTTTCTCTTAAGAATGGAAGAGAAGAAAATGAAACAAGGGGTTCAGACTAAATACACCATGAAAATGAGGGTGAGTAATGGAGGTAGAGCCATTAAATGGAGAATCACACAATTTCTGGAGGTTGAATGTTACAACCTTTACTGAGGGAAACATAGACAAGCTTCATTGGTTTGTGGGTTCTTCTATGCTTCTTAGAGTCTCAAAAGTTGGCAACCACAAAGAGTGGGGGAAAAAACATCAATGTGAAATGGAAGGTCTAATGCCTATAATAGAAGCAACTTTGAGGATATGATAAAAAGATAATAAATTAGAGGGACCTAATTCAAAATTAGGTGAAACTTGAGGGACTCATGGATTAATTATCCGCTTTTTTGGCCAAGAAGACTTCTATTAAAACAGAAAACGTTCAACAATGTAACAATAGTATAAAAACTGAAAAAAAAAATGGAAGAAGAAGAAGAAACAACAAACACAAACCAAATTGAAGAATCTAGGAAACAAAACTAGAAAATTAACAAAAAAAAATTGAAAAACTAGTAGCACCCATAGAAGGTTAATAGTTAGCCAACAATATCTCGATCATATAGCTCTTCACCTTGAACAGAAGCCAAACTAGACCTCAAAGCATCCTCAACTAGCGAGAGACAAAAAGGAGATGATGGTGTTTCCACCCATTCAAATAGAAGCAGTCATGAAATCTATTGCACTACTACTTTTTCATGGTTCAAAGGAAAGAGAAAACCCAACTCATGATACCAAAAGATCTAAAGTGTCTTCAACAACATTAATACTTAACCAATCACCCAAATTCAACCGGCCTTTATTAATGCAGTTCACAAGCATAAGACAATCACTTTAAAAAATTATCTTGTCATAACTCATTTCTCTAGACAATAAAAGTGCTCCTTTTAAAGCTAAAGCCTCACTTGTAAAAGTATAGAGAGGCTTAACCTCATCAGTGAAAGCCCAAACAAAGAGACGAACATCATTTTGGCAAACCATTATCCTTAGGTTTAAAAGCACCGTCACTAATGAGTGCTTAGCCGAATTGGAAAGGATTACAACCGACATTTCTTAGGATGAAAGTTTAAATCTTGAGGAGTAACAGATGCAATAATTAAAGTGATCTCAAAGGTCATTCCATTGATACCCGTAACCATTATAAGATCTTCAACGTGGGGGTTCGAATTAGTCTAAAGTGAGTAATAAACCCAAAATACCTCAGGATACCAGGCGATTTAGTACCCAAAAAAAGCATCATCACAATTAATTTTCATAAGCCCAACAGAAGGAACAAACCAACAATGCTCTTGCACAGCACCAATAGCTGCATTGTCATTATTTTGCATTCTAACAATACTCTCAGTCTCATGCAAACAATATAAATAATCTGTATTAAAAGAATAAACAATATAAATAATGAATACGGAACGGTCCAAATCTAATAAAATTATAGAATTACTCCAAAATCTAGCATCTTTTACTAAAATTATAAAAAATATTTAGACTCTGATTGTTTATGTAAGACCTGCGAATAATTTTTCCTTTTTTACCCAAAAAAAAAACTTAAAATCACCCAAATGTCTTGAATCTCATTTATAGTATGTTGTGTGATCATATAACATGTTGTTATAAATTATGAGTTACAATAATAAGGCAACAATGTAATTTAATTTTAGTTTCATTTGTAAAGAAAAATCAAAATATTATAATTCCCTATCAAAGGATCCAGATGCCATAAAAAATTATGGAAGAGATAAAATATTATAATTTGATTTTATCTTTTTATTAAAAAAAGCCTCTCTCATCCCAAGACCTTATTCCGTCATTAATATTGTAAAAATGCATCCAACACTCCAACTGTCCAACAGGCTGTGTTTGGGGCGGCGGTACGTAGGCAACACTACAAATAACTAGGCTGCAGTGAAAAATATCAACATGATTACGCAATATTTCGGTAGCATTTAGAAGTAATTGGAAAAAAAAAAAAAAGAAGTTATAAAAGGAAATTTACAATTGCTGAGAAAAATATACGAAAAACGCAATTGGCAGTAAGATTTCCCACTCGAGATGAAACGTGAATTTGTGAAAGGAAAATAAATGTAAAATGCCACTCGCGGGGGTGAAGCTAGATCTCGTGGTTCAAAGCAATTTCCCCTATTATAGGAACCATGTACCTGAACCTGATTGATTGCTATTTATCTCGTGTCCTTTACAATATTTTCATGTGGGTAATTTTGCATATACACAACACAAGCCTAGTGTATGAGGTTCAAATCCTTGAATGTATGAAAATATAACCATTTCAGAGCCTCATATAAAATGGAACATTCCTAAGCTTTTCTGCTACAAACAAACTCAGCCAAATCAAAACGTTAGCAGCTGCATATACATCACGCCAAGTGTCAAGAGTGAGAGCGGTATCCAAGTAAAAGAGAGATAAGTGCCACCATACAGACGTATAGAAGGGGGAATCCGACTTGAATCTTTTGCGAACCTCTCTTACTCAGATCGGCCTGCAAATATAAAATACACCGGTTTAACAGTAAGTAAATGAAATATGCTGGAGTCCTACGCCAAAGATGAGGCAACCCTACCCTCTCTTACAGAATTACAAAGAACAACAAAGGAGAAACAAAGAAGTTTTATCCAAGTTCAGGCATGTCAGAGTGGGAGGGACAACATATGAAGGCAGTTACGACTGGGAGACATGGCTCCCTCGGATTCCTCCCGTTAATTTTTATATTTTCAAGAAAATATTGTCAGGCTTACTATTTTTTCTTGCATGACTTTAGTCTCTAGATTGCTTAGCCTGCTCTCCTCCGTTAGCTTTGATATTGTTACTCCAGCCTAAAAAAAGACAAACTTGATCAATGACGTAGTTGGATCAACTTAAAGTAATCAGCACACGCTAGAATACAACTCAAGAATCTCTATCGCAAACATTCATTCAAACTTCAAAACTCAAAAGTAAGAAACAGATAGGACGGGAGCTCCAACCTTTTGTGTACCACCCATTTCAAAGAAACGGAAAAGTTAAAGGACATTTGTGGATTAATAAAATACTTAATCCATAATCATGCCAGGGTCTATGAAAAATAATATAACCATAAGGATCAATAATTGCGACATGGAGGAGGGGGGTTCTAAGTATCATTTGAAAGTTGAAACTCATCCCACATATAAAGAAGAAGAGAACAAGATACAAACAAAAATGCCTTGATGAGGCATCAATATGCAAATTCCTATTTTAATTGCAGGATGTCTACTGCTTCAACATTCCATACAAGCACACATACAAGTAGATAAATATTTATCATTACAAAAGTGGAATGCCTGACCTCATTCAGCTTTGACTCAAGTTTATCAAGTTTAAGCTTTATCTCTTCAATAGCTTCCATTAATTTTATCTCCTCTGCACTCTTTGACACATTTAACATGGCCACTTTTTCTGCATTTGATGCCTGTGCATCCTTCACATTGTTGAGCTCCACATCTTTTGACACTTTTAATTCCGCAGTTCCTGGTTTCAGTACCTCCACATCTGTCATGATTTTCGACCTCTCATCTTCTTCCACATTCAACTCAATGTCATTTTCATCGTTTGACTCCTCATTAACCATCCTATGCTCAACATTCCATCCTATGCTCAACATTCTGACCCTAACATGCCCATGATAATAACGACACTGTGAAGGAGTAAGCTTCAAACATATCCCACTAAAATGAATAAACAAAAAAATACCAACAGATTGAAGTTTCAGTGGAACCTATTCTGATATATGTTGTTAGGGTGAAGAAGGCTTATGGAGGGAAGGAATTGGTGATGGGGAAAAGGGTCTAGAGAGAAGTAAGAAGGGAACAACCTGAGGCAGGATGGGTCAAGCTAAATATTGATCGCGCTGTGAGTAGGCAACCTGGTAGATCAGGATGTGGTGGACTGCTCAGAGATGATAGAGGTATGTGGTTGGGGGGGATTTACAGATGGTTTAGGCAACTGCACTGCTTTTGAAGCAGAATTATGGGGTGTATGGTCAGGTATTATGCTTGCTCGTCGTTTTAATTGTAGGAAGATTATAGTGGAAACTGATTCCACTTCTGTTGCTTGTTTACCGTCAAAATAGTTTGATTGTGATGATTCTAAATACAGGATTCTGCAGGACGCTAAGAGGCTGTGTGATCCTTGGGAGGTAGGGATTGTACATACTCATAGAGAGGGAAATATGTGTGCAGATTTTCTTGCACAACTGAGTCTGTTAGGTTCCGAAGGTTTGAGGTTTTTGTCTGAACCTCCTATGGAGGTGGTGAAATTTGATGTACAGAGATAATATGGACGTTACTTCATCCAGGTAGACAGTTATGGAATAAATGGGCTTATGCCCTGAATTATACCCAAAAAAAAAGTAAGCCACAAATGATTATGGACAGTCTTGAAATGTAACTGAAAAAATGAATTGAATTTCTCAAGAATTTAAAATGTTTAAATGAAATCAACATAGGTGAAGGAGTTAAACAAAGTAGACAAATCAATGATTTTTCTCTGACCATGGGTTCTTGGGAAAGGATTTCCTCTGTGCCAAATATCTGATTCTTTTCATAAGCAAGACCATTATTAAAGTCTCCATTGATGGGAGAGAGTTCTGGTGAAGAGGTAAGGCTGATCAGGGCCACTTTCAACTTGTTTTCTTCAACATATTTGTTATCATCTTTGACGAACTGTCAAATGCCAAAAATAGATAACTAAATAAACAAAATAAAAGATACAAATGTAAATAAATATAGGCGTTCAAAATAAAAGCTCTAAGAACAGAAAACCTCAACTTGATGCATGAACATACCAAGCTGGAAGTAATATCTTCATTGGTTGTTCCAACAGGAACAATTGTGCTCTGGATTAAAAACTTGTCCTTGCATGCCATATCTGCTGGAGCTTCCTTTAGAGCTTGCATTGTCACTGCTTGATGCACACAGTAAAAGTATCGAAGGTTAAATTTAGAGAGAAAGCTAAAAAAGAAAGAACCTCTACAATTAGAAAGAATTTTGTGATATCAATATAAGATGAAGTGTGTGGAATTACCTCCTACTGTTGTTATTGGACTACTGATACTCCTGATTCCAAAAGACTTAAATCCATTCCTAAACTATTTTGAGTTGGAGATGAAATTTTCCATCAGGAAATCGCACTCTCAATTTTAGTTGAGTTCGAATCACGCCTATTTATGATTCAAAAGGCATGCAAAGTAATTTAAAAAAAAATTCAAAACAACAATCGACCACAAATACCTCCTTCTAATAAAAACCAGAACTGAATCTGCCAACTCAAACTTGTCACTGTTTAAATGTTACTCGAGAATAACAAGTAATAAAAACGACACAACCCGTAAATGATATAGTTATACCTATGAAGTCACAAGCAGAATTTGGCAAGAGAACTCCAACATTTGGTCGCACTGAATATTTTTTAGGTGCTGTCGTCTTTACCTGCTAATGTTACAACTGTTTAGCTGTGAAGCGCTATAGCTTTGATAAAAAGAAATTTCTTGTCTACAATTAGAATCTCAATGAGGGAAGATAAAAGCAAGCTGTTTGGACCTTGAAAGCGACATGATATTTGGTGATATTAGTCAACTGAATGGAGCATGAACTTTGCTTCTTAAATTGAACTACAGAGGCAAAATATTGAGGGACGTCAATAAGTTGATTGTATAATTAGACATTACAAATGAATGACTGAAAAGACGAAATCATTATGAAAAATGAACTTAGTTACCTATATTCAAAATTTCAATTAAAAAAAAAAGGCAAAAGAAACATATCAGATCACAGAGGCTTAATCAGGGACTAGTAACAATTGCCAAGACTTAAGAGCGCGTGCTGGAAAATGTAAGGTCAAGTCTAAATACTTCGATTCTAATTCGTCTTAGTTAGGAATAACTTCACATTAAAAAAAGGGAGTATATCATTTCCATCGTACAAATCTGATAATTAAAAAGGAACATATCTAGAAAGAATGATCATGAACAACTTATAATCATTTACTCACACAAAAATTTCAGTTCCTTGGGTTCGATTTCAAGAAGTTGATTGTTCATGATTGCTGCTCAGAAAAATCCAAATTCGAGATATATCCGGTCAGCATCCAAAGCTAATAATTGATTTCCACGCCGTGCAACCAGCATATCATAAACAATAATGAAGACCTGACTGGCCAAACACTAAAACCTTCCGACTGAAATTATGTTCGGCTACAATACACAGACTGTCACCGCAATTTAAATTCTCTACGAGTGAGTGAAGGGAGCGGATTGTCAGGCGATGAAAAGGAGAGAGAAAATTATCCTCTGAAAAAGATGAGCAACACCTAAAACAAAAGAGTTCTCAGAGACGAAAAGACAGAGCGAAACAAGAAGTTCGAGAGGGAAGAAGTGGGGAACGAGTCAAGTCGCCTCAAGCTCCACTAGTCAACTTGAGAGACTCGCACGCTTAAAGCGCCAAAAACGAATCAAAGATCGTTGATGAAGGCCTCAAATTCAGCGACATAATATAGTACATACGAACTCAGTTTTCGACTCGCTTCCCAACGCGAGAATCATCGAGAGACCCGCAGATGAAAGCAATTACGACAGCGTTTTAGAACTCACCGGTACTCTCGCTCAGAAATGGGAATGGAATCGAACGACTATGGAGCGTGTCTGAAGGGAAAAAGAAAATAAAAATTGGAACCGAAGGGATAGTCTGGGAAGAAAAGTAATTAATGTGAGGATTAATGGCGAGAGAAGAAAATATGGAGAGACGAGCAAAGGGAAAATGAGGCAGCAAGGAGTAGAAAACTAGTTTGGCCAGGAAAAAAAAAAGGAGTAGAAAACTAGAAAGCAAACGTAAAAGGGGTGCTTTATTGGTTACTTTGCGAGGGGTGGCGTAGACCTCGCGTTTCTTTTATTTCAATTTTTAATTACGATTTCACCTCTCACCGAGCACCACGTCAACAATGAAAGCGAGGTGCGGATCAATCTGATTGTACCGAACACCGGCCTCATACCGACATGAAGCCGACTTCGTTGCACTTCAGGGCTCGCCGGGGCGCTCGGCTCTTCGGGCTTAACACCATTCTTTTTTCGACAGCATCGCGTTGACTTGGGTGCTTTTTTTCTTTTGGGCCAGTAAATTTCTCCTGTGCACCATATGATTCAAACAATTGACTAGGGAGCTGGCTTCCTCCTCGCCTCTTACAAGGAATGTGTAAATTTTGATTATCTAGTTTAAATTTAATTTTTTTTTATTTTAAAAATAAAAAATTTATGTAAGTTATAGAAAATTTGAATAAATCAATTGCTAATTTAGACAATTAAAATTTAATATGAATAGTCCTATGAATATTTTATTTAGTAACTTTAAAATAAAAATATTAAATATTAAAATTGAATTTTTTAAATTAAATTTAAATAGTCCACGTCTACACAGCTATGCTTCGTCACTTCCCATGAGAGCTTTCCCTTGAACTCCTCTAACTCTAACGTGATAGCTGATGCTAATGCCATCTACTCTTTCTTAAAAAATGTGAAGTCTCTTTAATTGAATCTAACTTTTAAATAAAATTATTTTTTATTTTTAAATTAATCTTACTTTTTCATATTTACTCCTATTAAATATTCTATAATAAATATAAAATCATTTTTAATAGGGTACTTTTAAAAAAATTAATGATTACACTTCAAAAAACTAAAAATGTCTTATATTTTTAAACAGATGAAGTATAATTCTATATCGTATCAATTTTTTCATTTGCAAACATATCATTAATTTTTTTAAGTTTTAAAAAATCAATGAAAACAGCCAATGTGTTTCCAATTTGATGAGATTTGTGTTGAAAAATTAACTTGTAAAACTTATTCAATGGGCAAAACATATGCATTACTTCGTCCTTCTCAAATTATAGGACAACATTAAAAAAATGAAAGAATCTCAATGAGAGCTCTCGAAATCAAATTAATAGCATATAAAGCTCAAATCATTCTAAAGTGCTTCAAGCCCAAGGGCCTAAATTGCAATAAATTTTGTTGATTCAATTATCAAAACAGCCTTACTTTTTTTAAAAAAAATATTTATGTGTGTGTCCTGTATCAAGCACTTTAATGTATCTTTTGTTATTTATAGACATCTTGTTGTGTATATATAAAACCCAATTTATTTTATTTTTCACAACTAGTTCCTTTAATGTTAAACATTTATCAATATTATCATAAATAAAAAAATATATGCTTAAATTTATTTTTCAAATATTTTCACGTGCTTTTGTTAATTATAAACATCTTGTTGTGTGTATATTAACAGTCACTTGTACATATTCAAACATCACTTGTTCATGCATAAAAAGGTTTGTCAATTTTTTAAAACCTAATTTATTCTATTTTTCACAACTTCTTCCTTCAATATTAATAATTTATCAATGTTATGCCAAATAAAAAATGTACATATTATAAATTTATTTTTCAAGCATTTTCATGAGCTGTTGTTAATTATTGACATCTTCTTGTATATATATGAATACTCACTTGTATATATTTGAACATCACTTATTCATACATAAAAAAAGTTGTCAATTTTTGTAACCTAATTTATTTTATTTTTTACAACTTGTTTCTTCAATATTAACAAGTATATTCGAATATCACTTATTCATACATAAAAAAAAGTTCGTGAAAATGTTGAAAAAATAAATTTATAACATCTATTTTCTTATTTAACATAATATTGATTTGTTAACATTAAAGGAATACGTTGTGAAAAATAGAATAAATTAGGTTTTTAAAAATTGATAATTTTTTTATGTGTGAACAAGGGATGTTCAAATATACACCAATGATCTTTCATATGTACATAACAAGATATTCATGATTAACAAGAGCTCGTGAAAATAATAGGAAAATGAATTTATAATTACCTAATTTTTTATTTAATGCAGTATTGCTAACTCATTAACATTGAAGGAATAATGTGTAAAAAATAAGATAAACTGAGTTCCAAAAAATTAAAAACTTTTTTCATGTGTGAGAGTGATGTTCAAATATGTACAAATAAATATTTATATATATACAACAAGATATTCAAGATATGCAACAACAAGTGAAAATGTTTGGGAATGAAAGTTATAATATATATATATATATATATATAATTTTGCACTATATACATTAAAGTATTTGTTGGCTCAATGATTTCTTTCATTTTGGGAAACCAAGTGGTCTAGAGGTGTCATGTTTGACTGGTTGTTGATCACCACGTAGAAGCTCTAATAGCCTGTGACAGGACACATTTTTTAGAGGTAAGGGCATTTTGGTAATTAAACTAACAAAATTAATAGCAATATGGGGTTTTGATCCTACAGAAGCATTTCAAATTGATTTGGACCATGCATGCCATTAATTTGATTTTGAAGGCCCTCATTGAGATTATCCTTTGAAAAAATTTTATTATCCCAAAATATAAAATATTTTAATGAAAAATAAAGTTTCATTAATTATATTCTTTCAATATTATAATGAAAAAAAATTAAAATGATTGCACATATAAAGTCATATTAAAAGGAGAATCTCACAAAGGCCCCCCAGTACATAAAAATTTGTATTTAGGGTGCAACAGAATTTGAAAATGCATTATAAGTTCAATGGTTTTTTTTCGCAAATTTTGTCATGAATAAAAAGATGTATTTACCCTTGTTTCAACATAATATCCATATATGCACAACACAATGTCCATAAAATTTTAACATAATATTACGAATGCACAAGATATCCGATAGACATAGTTTAATTTGAAGTGAAATGCATAAGCAAGTAAAGAATGAACAATACAATGTTTTTGAATATATAACACGATATCCATCAATCCTTAACATAATAAACACGTGTAAAGCCACAACATTATAACATAATGTCCAGAATGAATAACATACTTTAAGTTAATGCTTAATAGATGTGTTGTATGTAACATCCTGATTTTTATATAATAAATAAATTGTGGAATTTAGGTTTTGAGGAAAAAATGATAATAATAGAAATTTATATTATTTGAGGTTATTTAGAAATGATATTATGGTTAGATATTTAATTATAAATTTAAAAATTTAAATTTAAAATCACATAAATAATATTTAATTAAGATACAATACATAAATAATTTTTTTATGTGTGTTAAAAAAAAGAAAGGTAGAAGGAACAAAAAAAGGGGTAGAAGGTTGTTGTTTCTAAGTCCCACATTGGTTAGATAAGGGAAGAGAAGAGGTGCCGTCATGTATAAAAAGGAGGGGGTGTGTGCATTAGGAAGCATGAGAGGCTAAGATGCAATTTAGAGAAAATTGTAATTTTTGGCCCAAGAGTTTGAATAATTAAATTCAAATCTATAGTTTTTTTTAATATAATTGTGGGATCCAAAATCTCATTTTTATATTATTTTTCTCTCTTTCTCTCTCGGCGTCTTCTCGCAAGGGGGGATTATTTTCTTTTTCTTCAGTATGTTCTAACTTTCCTGTTTAGATTAACATTTAAAAATTTATTTAATTACAAAATTAATTTTATAGTTATTTTCTAAATAATATTAGCTTTTTAGTGATATGATTATTTTGTAGGATAGAGTAAATATTTTGATTAGGATTTTTCTATAGGATAGTTAATCTGATGATATGATGGATTAAAAATATACGTTAAAACTCTTAGGGATATAATAAATATTATAGAATATTTTCTTGAGGTTGAAACTCATATTTAAAAATTTTTGAGTTAAAATCTAGATCTATATAATTGAATTTATGTGGAATCTGAGATATAGGGATGAACCTCTAATTATTAAATATTTATTTAAGTATAATAGGTATTTTTGATTTTATAGAAAGGTGATTTGAGGCTTCAGGATAATTTTAAAATTTTTAATTTATTTTTGGATGAATTTTTAGAATATAGAAGGATGAAATTGTGATACTAAAAGTAATTTAAGGCTTAAAAATAGTTTATTAGGGTACAAGAATTTTAGAAAAGAATTTGAAAAGTTAAATGAGGCATAAATCTTAAATTAGTGTTAATATGGATTATAGATCTAAGACTTTCTAATTCTTTAAATTAGAGTTATGTATTTTAATGTAAAATTAATATATAATATTATGAAATAACTATGTAGATTGTGTTGACAAAGATAGTGGTGAAAGAGGAGTTGTGAAGGGGAACTTGTTATTCAAGACACAAGGTAATCATTATTAATGTGTTGTGATGGGTGTATTTGTGAATGATTATGTGTTGTTTTATTGTTTGAAAAAATTATGAATTAATAAAAATAAATATTGTATATATATACTTGTTTGAAATTATTGCCAAGTGGGTCAAAAATTTATTTTTCTTTATCATGATGAGATATTATTGTTCGGATATATTCCTGTTTGGATATTTGAATGATGCATGACTTGTCAGAGTATTTTAATATATGGTGTTAATGAGAATTTCTATTCGGTTAATTATTACCACGTGGTAAGCCTTCATTGGACCCAATGAGTGGCGTGTCGCTTAGTCCAACTCACCTTTGGTCGGGTGATTTGGCGTCCGAGCATGGGGAAAGGAGAATATAAGGTGCAGTCATGCAAATTAAATACTTGTACGGTTTGTTTGAAAGTATTGTTCGGTTAAATGTTTTATGTGCCCACTTAGCAATCGCATGATTAGTTACATCCGCATGTATCATTACATATTAATTTTTGGTTACTGGGACTTTTAAGTCTCATTCCCCGTGGTTAATATTTTTACAGGAGCGAGTCCGACCGAGAAAGCACCAGAGGTGTAACTATGGTGTATGAGACACCATCTTTACGT